TAGACAAAGTAGGTGCTCAATAAATATTTGCTGAATGAGCAACGGAATTTAATCTATTGCCTATGGTACAAAAGCTCTGGCCAGGCAGGCTCTTCGGTCTCCCCAGCAATCATGCCGTTGTCTCCACATTTGTAGATCTGGACCTTTGTTACAGCTCAGATCTGTCCTTCCTCTACTGGGACACTAGCCCTGACGATCACAGCCACCCATGGCCTCCTCTCCTTCCACAGCCCTATCACCTCGGAGTATCTGGTCCCGTCCACTCTCTAACCGCCTTAAAGACAGGGTCCAAGTTTCTCACTGCTTTGAGTTTCTGACAATGTCTCTTTTCTGGAAGTGCACACAGCCAAATGACCCTCAGAGACTCAGAAAGCACTTAGTCCAGAAGCCATACGCTGGATCAGCTCGCAGATCCATTTTCACGGGGTTTAAAACTGTTGTTTTTTAAATCCAAACAAGAATGCTTTGGGCCCTGCTCTTCTTCCCTGGCAGCGCTGGCCCCGGCAGAGCCCAGGCCTGAAGGCGGCTCTCCTGACCGACGTGCCATCAGCCTGGCGGGCAGCCCCTCTGAGCTGCAAACCCAGTGCCAGCTCAAGACTGTCAGCTGAACTGGAGTCAATCCTATTCACCACATCACTTCCCCGACAGACGCCGCAGGTTCCATCACTGCCTTCCTCCAACATTAGTGCTTTGTAGGAGGGCTGGAAGTGCCATCGAGCCCTCATTATAGCTGTATTCCTAGTATCCTCAAGATTTAAAATTTGTATGTCCTTACACTTAATTACTAAACACTACACAATTAAGAGGACTTCTAATTTCAAGCCATTAGAAAGAGAGAAATTTCATATTTGGTTCTGAGGAATATTCATTCTAAAGATGTATCTGATTTTTAAAGTCTAAAATATTTTATTTCTAATGTTATATAAACAAAACCACTTGTTTAATTCAGAAGAGCAGGCCCTGAAGCTACAGCTTCTGAGGTGAAGACAGGCAGGAGTGGCCGCAGAGCGCGCGGCGGCAGGTGGTGCGCAGGGCAAGCCGGGCCGGGGCGAGAAAGCCCGCGCCCAGGTGGCTCGGTCACTTTCCAGCCTCAACTTTCTCGAGCCATAATCAAGGAATTCAAGGCCCTGCATATCTCAGAGTCTCTAGGTTAAAATAAGTATGGCCCATTTCTTTATAGTGTTCTGGATAAAAACACAGCTGAACAAATGCAGGTGTCCTGTCATTTGTTCTGCGAACTGCACCATCTGAGGTGTCGCGTGCAGCCTGCCCAAGCTCCACCCCGTCTCTTCATCTGTAAGAAGGGTTAATGAAGAAATGGCCTTACATTCCCCTCCAGTATCACTGCGGAATTCTTGTCTAAGGACGTTTAAGGCAATCAGTATTTTCTTGCTAATGGCTTTCTCATATGTTGTTTGAAATAAAATGAGAAAATCCAAATAAAGTGGTTCAGCACAGCGACTGGCCCAATAAATGCCCATAAAGCCAAGAAAGGCTTATAAATATTGAGAATTTACCACAGAGTTGTTGGTTACTGGCTTGCAAAAAGGGGCATTTAAATATTTACCAGACACGTGTGTGTCCCAGACACTGTGCCAGGTACACACCATACCCTCTCTCACTTCATCCTCGTAACAGTCCCGTGCACAAACTGCCGGCAGAAAAACAGCTGTGCCTGTGCCTGCCCACAGGGAAGGACGGGGTGCTAGTGCCGGAGTGGAGAAAAAGGTTCCGTCACAATTGTGCATGAAATGAACAAGAGACCCTGTGAGGTTCCTGGGATTCTTTTTGGTTGAGAAAGCGAGCCTCCAAGCTGGCCCCCAACAATCTCCTAGTGTTTACACGTTCCCTACTGAAGGCCGTCGACCCCCACCCGGATCCAGGGCTGGTCTGTGTGACCAAGTGAAGGGATGTGACTTCCAAGTTTAGGTTATAAAAGACACCGTGAGCCCTGACTGGTGTAGCTCAGTGGAGTGGATGTTGTCCCACAAACCAAAAGGTTGCTGGTTCCATTCCTGGCCAGGGCATATCCTGGGTTTGGGGGCTGGGTCCCTGGTTGAGGGGGTGTGCGAGAGGCAACTGATAGATGTTTCTCTCCTTCTCTTTCGCCCTCCATTCCCATCTCTCCACAAAATACATAAAATCTTAAAAAAGACACTATGATAGGAAATATAGTTAATAATATCCTAATAACTATGCATGATGCCGGGTGGGTAATGAGACTTATGGGGGGAGGGGATCACTTTGTAAGTTAAACAAATGTCTAACCATCATGCTGTACGCCTGAAACTAATGTAATACTGAACACCAACTGTAATTCAAAAAGAAACAAATGAATAAATCACACTTAAGCCAAAGGTCACAGGTTTGATTCCTGGTGATGGCACATGCCTGGGTGGCAGGACTATGTCAGAGGCTACCAATCGATGTTTTTTTCCCACTCTTTCTCCCTCCCTTCCCCTGTCTCTAAAGTAAATAAATAAAATCTTTAAAAAAAAAGCAACACTACCTCCTGCCAACGGCCACATAGTGAGGCCTGAAGGCGTGCCCTCCAGCCCCCCCGGATGGCAAGATGACTGCGACCTCAGGACAGACCCTGAGCCGAACCACCAGCTCAGCTGCTCTCAAGAGTCCTGACTCTCAGAAACCACGTGAAGTTTTCTGTTTTCAGTTCCCAGATTTTAGGGCAGCTTTTTACACAGAAATAACTAAAACAGATGTTCCACCGATACCCAGTGGCTACAGCCAGGGACCTTCCCGCACAAAGAACACCGCTGCCCCAAATCTTAATTAAGAAAACGCAGGCTGACCAGCGAAGAGTTTGCACAGAGCAACCCTGAACAGCAGAGTGCGGAAGAATGTGCTGTTTTATCAAACTGCCCTGTAAACTGTTTCTTGTGCTCTGATTTGAATTTAGCAGGAAAAAAAGACTCAAGTAGGAAAAACACAATGGAGTTTTATAATTTGAAATAAGTAATTTTCCAAAATCTACAACACAAGGCAAATTCTGAAGGGTCAAGGGAAGTAGAGCCGCCCCGCCCAGCCCCTGGGTGCCCAGGTACTGGTGAGAGCTGGGAGTTAAAAGCCGGGGCAATCACGGGATTACCCTCTGAAGAGAAAGTGACCCAGAGCCGAGGACAGAGCCCTGACAATCTAATGTCCGGCCAGTGCCCGGTCAGGGCCATGCCAGCCTCCCAGGCCCACACCTCGGCTCTGCTTCAGGAGCGACAGCAAGGCGCCTGGTCGCCTGCAGGAGCCACCTGACCACGGCCCAGTGTGTTACAGCCCCGTCACCCCAAGCCCCCACACCAATCTAAGGAACGGCTCACTGAGGTTAGACACGCACCACAAGCACCCCTGCTCCCAAGCGCCAGCTCACCTCTGGGAAGCTGTCTCCAACGCGCTCTCCCTGCCTCCATCTCCCAGTCGCCCTCCCTCCTGTTCCACAGGAGCTGAGCATTCTGTCCTGTCATTTGTTTTCTTAACTGTCTTCCCCACTCAACTAATTAGGGCCCCAAAGGAAATGTTTCCGGCTTTCCAGCTCCTGCCTCTGACGCTGGCCTACATTCATTCACCAGGTAAACGGGGGCCCAGGGAAGTGCCAGTTTTCTGTTCACACAGCCGCTTGATGAATTCTGCTCTCCAAGTCCCTGCTCTGGTATGGGACGTGGACGCAGGGATTAGCGATTACAATACAGCAGGGGCTCCGTTAGGCCGCCACAGCAACAAGCGAGGAGGGCACGTCACTCCCAGGTGCAGGGCCGAGGGACAGAGCGGGGAGGCAGACAGGGGAAGAGCCTTGCTGGCAGGGCACACAGGTGGCAAAGAGAGCAGGCCGTGAGGAAGGTGCTCCTGATGAGGCATGGCTGGCGCACAGGTGGGGATGGAGCCAAGATGGGGTGGCAGCAGCTCCGAGGGAGGAGGGGCCTGCGATGTGAGGGGCATCCAAGGTCAGGGAACCAGGTGGGGGGCGGCTGCGAAGCTGCAGTCTGCTAGCAGGGAGGTGCTGGCGTGGTCCTGGTCCTCGTCCTCGCAGGGCCAGGGTGCCTGGTTAGGTGGCCGAGCTGGTCTTAGGACAAAAATAAAAACTGGCAATTCTGATAAATGCCAGGATACTTCATCTTGAAGAATTTCTCAGGACTTACTTGGACTGAAGGCTAAGAAATAGCTTAATAAATATAAACAGATCCTTAACATTAAAACTCTTCTGATCTTAAGATTCTACCACTTAGAGATACTAGTACCTCTTACGTAAATAAAGATAATCAGAAAGAAATAGTCTTAACTCCTCAAATTTAGCCCATTGCTTAGCAAGTTACCAACTCCTTTTCTAGTAAACTGTTAAAAAAAAAAAAATTGACCCAAACAGCCTAATCTGTTTTTCCTAAAATTCCCTTGAGATATCAAATGTTCCTGCCTCTGTTTGCTTGTTTTTTACTTCCTTCCTCATTTTTGGCCTTCTTTATCATTATCTTGGTCCTGTTTAAGCCACGTCCTAATGGGAAAAGTGTCACCTCAGAGAATGCTCCTCAGGGGTCACCTTCACCAGAGAGGAGAGAAGGGACAGCGAACCGGGGCAGGTCTGAGGAGGGCTTGGTTAAGAGGGTCAGAGAAACAATGCTCCTAAAGCAGGATGAGAGATGCCCCTGCTTCCTGATATCTAGATGGAAACAGGAACTCAGGAAAATCCTTGAATCAGACAAGAAGTAGGTAATAAAATGAGCTCAAGAGGGGGGAATTTGGTGCCATCATGGATCAGGAAAGCGGAAGCTCTGAGAAGCTGGTATTTAGACAATTAGTTCAGAATGTGAAGAGAGTTCATTTTGTCTATCGCCACCGCCTGATAATCCTTTTGAAAGGGCAAAGCAAACACAAAAAAAGACAGGAAGAGACAGTCACAGAGACCAGCAAGGCAGGCTGCCACTTACTTTATCGAGCTTGCATTTTATGAAGGGCAGTCAGAGCACAATGTCAAAAAGCCACTCTAAGACCCCACTCACAGCCTCTTTCTCTCTGTCCATGATCGTCTCCAGCTCCTCGAAATGCCGCAGTTTGATCTCCAGCTTCTTCATCTGTGTCTCCACCAGGAGGGCGACAAGAGACTTGATCTTTCTCTCTTCCACAGCAGCCAGGTGCTAGGCACAAAAGATCATTCAAATTATTTAAACACTTGCTTAAAAAGAGTAACAAAATGCTCAAGTGGGATGATGCAATGAAGAGCGGTGACCTCGATGTCCGCTTTGTGTGTGTTTCTACCAAACACTTATTTCAATTTAAAATACCAACTATCAGAATTTCCAGTCTTTACAGGTACATATCCGCCCCCTGAAAGGATTAAAGGAAACCCAGCCAGTGGTGTACTCCTCCCTTAGAAGGACCCATGGAGGAGGGGAGGTTGAACCAGGACCCTGATGGGCAAAGAGGACGCAGGCGGCCTGGGGGGCACGCCCTCACTTCCCACCCCTTTCCGCCCACCCTCGCCCTGCACCCTGGCCCGCCCCGCACCAGCCTTCCCCATGGATGACCTGTCCAAGCCAGGAAAGCAGCGGTCTCCCTCCACGCCGAACACTCATTGAGGGAAACCACATGGAGCGGAGGGCGAACAGTATCCCACCCTGAGCCTGAGGTGGGTCCAGAGCATAAAAACAGGCGCAGCACAAGACGGGCAGTTCCCCTGTGAGAACGTGCCACTTGCCTGCCCCAGAACTGACGGCGCGTGCTGCACACGTGTCTTGCCAACGCAATGGCATGCAGAGGCATGGCCTGGGGAGGACGAGGGTCCACCTGGCCAAGACCCTGATTACCCGGCGAGGGAGCTGTCCCGCCTTCTCCAGACACCACCCAAGAGCTTACACCAACAACCCCCAACACCGCTGTGCATTGCTTGGGTTACAGCTGCCAAGTTTGCATACGTGGCCTTGCTTCTGTTCAAGATTTTGAGAAGTAATGGAGTTACCAAGATCACAGAGGGGAAAAAAAAGAATGTAAAATATTGGATTAATTAAAAGTAGATGTTACACTGGAGGAAACTGGTAACTGATACACGGGATGGCTCTGTAATAACATTTTTGCAACTTCTATGAATCTACAGTTATTTCAAAATGGAAAGTGGGAAGAAAAAATGCCTGTCCAAGGCTACCACTGACTGCACCCTGGTGAATCTGTTAACCTGCCACGTCTCTACCTCCTGCATTTTCACAGCGACAGGAGGGGGCGTCCTTTTCATCTGTTTACCTTCCACGACTACTCGTATTTTCACTGGTAGGGGAGGTTCATCCAGAGAAGACAATGCAGTGATTTCTTTCCCAGAGCCGCATGCTTCCTGTGGCCCAGGCTCTCAGAAAACTGGCGGACCTGGTGACACATACGTACCAAGTCCGTCCAGCAGAAGTCAAAAGGGCTCAGGAGCAGGTTCCAAAGGAAATCAGAAACCTCCACAGGGCCCAGATGTGATTGGATAAATGTTACCAAGCACTATGCAAAATGTGTCCAAACACCACTCCTGCCTGTTTTAAGGGAAAACAAAATCTTAAAAGATGGTAAAAGCGACACAATCGCTGGCGTACGTTACAGGGCTGGGGGAAGCAGTAGGTTTATTAAGCACTTATTTCATTCTAGACATCATGGTGTATTTTCATGGTAGGCACTTTCATGCTACTTCTTTTACTTCTAATAATAAGCTACCAAGAGACGCATTATCTCCATCTTATGGAGAATGAAAGCGAGGTACAGAAGAGCTGCCTTGCCCAGGCCGCGGCTAAGGGAGTGGGAAACTGACCCCGAGAAACAAGACTGGGCAGTGAGAAAGGCAACACACAGATCTGGGGGCGAGTTACCAGTGTTTATAAAACATGGGTACTAATGTTTCCTTCTTATTCCTACGATTTTTTTGGTGTCAAAAATTAGAAACTTAAATCACAACTGGTATGCTAGAGGTGCTTAAAAAACAAAACAAAACCCAAGTTTTTTTTTTTGTGGGTTTTTTTTTTGAGCCAGCTGTTGGGGTTTTTAATGTAAAATGTTTGAAAGAATTTTCACTAGAATGGGGGACTTTATCAGAGTATGTCTGTGGGCTGACTGGGACCACCAGACCCCAAGCATGGAGACCGGGTTTTGCTCTTGGCTTCGCCAATTCGCGAGAAACTGCGCCTGAATGGCCACTCCTGCGGAGCTTCATGTGGATCTGCCGCTGACTGAGAGAAGACCTACGACTTCCAGCCCCAGCCTGATACCATATGATGAGACACGCGGGAGAAATGTAAGCGGTTTGTGACCAGAGGGCAGGCTGTGGTAGGTGGAGGTGGCCCGCCTTCCATCTGGAGGCGTGGCCTTTGATGCCCGCACCTGGGATTTACACAGACCGTCTGACCAGCACAGTTGGGGAAAACCGTGCAGCACCAGGTAGGGGGTCTGAGCCATAAGCCGCTGGCAAGTTGTTCTTATCACTTGGGACACTTTTACTTATAAGCTGCCAGGTAACAAGTCCAACTACTCTGATACCACCCTAACCTGAAGAAGCCAAGGTAACTTCGTAGTCTGTGAGGAGACAGCCACGGCGGCCAGCCCCCAGGAGGCCTAGGCCCCAGGCCCTTCCCAGGGGCTCAGCCACGAGGTGAGTAGAGGTGAGTAGGGAACGAGCCCAGCCAATGCCTCGGGGAGCAGAATATTCCCCACTGAGTCTGCCGAGCTTTTCACTTGTAAAATCCAGGAGATGCAATAAAACAAGTGTGGTGTGAAGACAGGAGGCTTGGTGGCAGCGCCACAGTGGTGGATAAATGGAGCAGGACCACCACCGATGCCCAGGCTGGGAGTCTGGACGGGCCTGGCAACCAGAGCTGCCAAAAGAAGGGCTAGACAGAGCTCGGTCTCCTCACATGCTGGCTTTGTAAAACCTGAGAGGGATGATGAGCTGAGTGCATCACGGATGTGTGGAATGTGGGAGAATCAACCTAAAAAACAATCGATTGTAAGAAAAAAGTGGAAGTTCTGTACAAGGTGGCAGTGTAGAAAAACAAAACAAAAAAGAAAGAATCAAAGGAACGTGGTTGGACTAGAGTTGAGGCAAACTTACGTAACAAAGCAGAGATTCTAGCTGGTATAACAGAAGTAGTTTCTATTCCGTCACATACGGTGAATGTGAACAGGGCTAACTGTAGACAAATTGATTAAATAGTCAATTTTCCCTCTATCTTCTCTTCCTGATAGTACCAAGTAAAAGATATGGTATCAATAATAAACGTATATAGTTTTAATTGATTTCAATCATCACTTATCTGGTGAAGCCTGGTGACTAAAATGGACAATGAAAATTTGCCTATCTCAAGATAGAATTTCAGGCATAAGGGAGCCAGTAAAAGGTATTTCTGAGTAGTAAGGAAGAATCTTCCTGTTCCTCCAGAACTAACCTCAGTTACCAGAAGACAGCCCCACCGTACCTGTCCGCAGGTATGCGGGCATGGGTGGTGGTAGGAAAAAATCTGAAGGAAATAGCTGTGCCCTAAGAAAATGTGATCTCTGCTATCTTGGGAGAACTGAAACCTATTGCTGCTGGAAAAAGACAGCATATTGCAATTTCTGGAGGACCTAATTTACTCCAGAATAGTTCTGAACCCTTCCTTCCAGCCAAACTTGAACACCCAGATGGACTGGGTACAGAGCACCTCGCTCGTTGGTATGTGACTGAAAAGCTGGACCCACTACCACAAGTCTCCCACCGGCAAGCCAGGAAGCAGGTCCGTCTCATGAGCTTTGGAGCGCGATCCAGAACCTCTAATTACCACTCCACATCAGAATGTGACAAACAACTCAAATGTATCAAGGAAAACTCTTAATAACAAAGCTGTTTATAGACACAGAACAGAAAGAGAGTAACAGAAAACTGGGACTGGTTAGATAACTGTACTAATTACAGTAATTTAAGTGAATTCCTTATCCCTTAATTACCATGGAGCACAAAAATGACGTGTGCTGTGAGACGTGCCAGAGCCAGCTGGGGGTGGCACGGGCAGCTCGTGGGCACCAACCCACGGGGCCTACCATCACTTTCACAAATCAGTGGAGAATAGAATCTAAGTTCCCAGTTATTAGAAGTAAGAGTGAATTCAGTAAGAGGAAGTGAAAATTCAGTGATCTGCAAGGAAAGTGCTCTGGATGCACTTCCAAGCCTTGTGTGGTGTACCTAAGGCCTGGGGAAACCAATCCATAAAAGCTGTCCCTGCAAAGAGGGAGACATGCGGCTGTGGCACGGAGGCCAGTCGCGTACCGAGCACAGACGTGTTAGCAGCTATGAGGCCATCACGCACTCCTCAGCTGTGAAAACACCATGAAGTTGTTCACGGTGATCTGCCTGTTCGGTTCCTTCTCCGGCAACCTTCAGTGAAGCCTGCACAGCGGCACGGAGTGGAGAAACAATGGGAAGGAGGAGAGAACCAGGATCTGAGAAGGGAAGAGTGTCCAAAAATCCCCACTGGAGATGAGAAAGACTTGGGGCCAAGAGGACTGCAGGGAACACCTCAGGGCAGGCGGGCGGGCGGGCAGGCAAGATCGGGTGCTTGAGAACTGAGAAGGGTCCTGATCTTGAAAATCCCAGAGTCCCAGTCTAGAGAGTGTGACATTTTAGCCTGAGAGAGGGAGGTTATTAAATCTAGTATCATGCTCATGTTTGTATTTTAAAAACCTCTTCTGCATACTGTACAATTCCACTGATATGAAATCAAAAACAGGAGCAACTAATCCACAGGGCGAGGAGCCAGGCCAGCAAGGACGCCTGAGGCAGGCATGGCACCTGGAGGGATACACCAGGGGCCCCGGAGGGCTGGCCATGTGGTGCTGACTGATGCGGGTGCGCGGTCTGTGAAAAATGCGCTCACTGCATATATGTATCCGCTCATTTGAATTTAAGCTATACTACAATAAAAAGTTAAAAACCAAAAAGATCACTTTGGCTGAAGGACACCAAATGGGAGGAAGGAGACAGGCAACAGGTGACAGGAGGCGACCCCCCAGAGCAGGGGCCAGGCACTGTCAGATGAAATAAAACGTGAAAATTTTGATTTGGTGGCAGAACAGCTATAAAAAATGAACAGGCAAGAGGGGTCTGAGGACCTGAGGCTGCAGGTCTCCAGACCGGGCAGAGGTCCATGCTGGCCCCGATAAAGCACGCACAGCAAGGGAGGCCCTCCTGGCCCCCAGCTCCTCACTTATAAAATGCAAAGTCTGCCCCAGCCAGTCCTGAAGGTCTAATGATAGTATGAATAGGAAGAACTTGAACAGGTAAGAGACAGAGATGCCAAAGAGCACAACTTGGCAGAAGATAAGGAGACCTCCTCCACCCCCCCCAAAAAGGTACACCTCAAAAACTCCCAGCGGCGGGGGTGGTAAAGGAAAAGAGATTACTTAAAACCATGCTCCAGTGCTATGAAGACGAGGAGGTATCTTTGGAAGAGACTGGCAAGTATGAATATGCAAGGTCTCAAGCTGCTGTAATAGCAACAGCCAGCTGAGCATGAGTGTGACCTGGAAGCACCCCTTCTCCCACGTCCGATGAGCGGACACTGGAAACACGGTCCTGTGCTATGAACTCCGTCATCTACAGGTCTCTTACAAACCCTGCTCCACAGACGTAACACCCAGAGAAGTGGCTCGCAGCAGCCGAGTGCTCTGGGAGAACTACGGGCCACGACCAACACCTTTGCCTATGGCGGGGCCGCTCCAGGTGAAATGACTGGGTGTGTTCCAGTAACTGCCCCCGAACTGCAGTGACCTGCGATGGAAGGAAACTGCCTCTAGGGGTAAAGTGGAGACGGGGTGAAAAGGTTTTTTAAAACTACATATTCACGCCTGGAATGCTTTAAAATGCTAAATTAACAGAAAGCGAGAAAAATGACTTTCTCCTTTCTCCTTAAATATGCTGTGAAGCCAATACTGTGTTATAAATAGAGAAAACCACCCCCAGAAGAGCTGGCAAATTCAAGAAGAAAACGAGCTATTTTAGATTCCTCCCCTCTCCTTTGAGCTAGTAAGAGCAAGATGAAGTATTTATACAAGGAAACAGATTTTGTCTTAAAAATCACAAACATTTCAACCTGGTAAATTGGAACAACGGTCCAAGTCAAGTTCTGCAGGCAAATTAGAGACTCCCCAGTCCTCCTGTGACCTGCAGTCCCGGCCAGGCTGAACGAGAGACACAAGGGCTGCGACGGAGGCATCGCCTTAGGGACCAGATCTGCCTTTCTACCACCCCCGCCTATGGAACCCTTCACCAAGAACACCACTCAGGCAAACAGTTGTCTCCTTTTGGGTGTGAGGCTCTTTATCCTGAACATCCTGATACACAAAACAAGACGCCCATTCACTCAGCGAGCTCTGGGAAAGGGCCGGTGGGCAAACCTTGGCTTTGGTTGCAGCTGAGGCAAGAGCAGCTGCTGCGGCTGTGGCTACATTTCCTTCAGAGATTTCATGTTCTACTTTCTTCTTCCCAATATCACTTTCTCTCTCTTTATAAGTATCAGTGAGTTCCTTGTTCTCTTCAGTCTCCTTTTCCTCTGGAAAAAAACCAGGAAGCTTTATTAGCAGTGTGCCCCGTCTCAATAGCCATCTTCCTTCTCACCTCTGCCACGTGACACACCAGGCCTGATGCTACAAAGAGATCTCAGTGCCTTTTTCTTCCTTTTAAGATTTTTGCTGACCCACGCCATGCATTTAAGTCTGCCTCTATCTGAGATGGATTTTCTAAATGGTACACTGTCTTGCCTTTATTTCTCTCAGTTCTCTGTGTGCAGTTCCCTTGGATATAAAGGGAAATTCAGGGGAACGAAGCTCTAAGACCAGCATGTTTGTTCATTGGTCAATGAAGAGCTCTGGGAAAGCCCAGGGTCGGAAGGAAATCAGAACCAGGAACAGCACTTCCGCCAGCCTTCTGAAGGGAGATCCGCCAGCAACTGGCGCCCAGGCTGAATGGCAGGTCTGTGTGGTGGCCTCAGTGACACTGAACCGCTTGTCTGTCCGTATGCGACTGAGAACAAGGCAGTCACTAGCATGAGCACTGGTGCCTACCCACAAAATTAACTCCAACTGCACCTTTACTACATTAACAAACTCAAAAATAAATGAGGAATTAATTCAACGCAATTAAACAGCCCACATTTCTCCACCAGTTTTTATAGCTTTACATAATGAAGTGTAAAGAGTTTACTCAAATTACCTGATTTGGTATCCTCACTAACTTCACTATCCTGTTCCTTCTCGCTAGTTTTTTCATTGTCGCCATCCTGTGCTTTATCACCTTCATCGGGTTCATTTTCCCCTTTGTTTTCTGCCTGAATAGGATACAAAAGAAGAGGACAAAGAGTGAGGAAAATTTTTTTAAAAGGCTGTTTATGAGCGATATTATCATGGGATGACTGAAGGTTCTACTATTTTTGACAAGAAGTAGTCTAGGTTCAGAGGGGCTTTAGGGAGAAAAGCTGGAGAAGAAATTAATATACATTCCCAAAGGACACGGTCCCTTTCTGCATCTCTGCTCTAAGGCCAGGGCTACAACGTCCAAAGGAATGTCAGGGGAATTCTTTTATGTTATTTATTGGTTATACAGAGAAATACTTAAAAAATAAATAATCGATCTGTTGTCCAAAAGGACGAATAACATTAAAATGCACATTATCAACCAAGAAGATGAAATGCTGCCAAAATAAAAAGTTGACAAAGTCCTTTAACACAGATGTTTGCTAATGGTTTGTAGAAAAAGTCACAATAGAGCATCAGTAAGCAAGAGGTTCTGGGGCCCAACAACTTTAGTCTCTCTGGTTAGCATTTGGTGTCCTTTGCTGATTCTGCAATCCCTGTGACCTTGGACAAGTTTGTAACAAGGTCTATAAAATGAACAGACTATCAGTGACTTGACGAGGCTGTTTTAGGAATTAGATGACTTCGTAAATGTAAAGAACAAAGCACGGTATTTGGAACATTGTAAGAAACAGAATTAATTTTACTACCATCTTCACCCTCCCCCTTTTCTATATACAATTTTAAAACACCACATGCAGCTAAGACCTTCAATCTCTCTTGTACCTATTCCTTCAAATAGTGACTGACTGCTGGTCTTGAAGAGGCTGCAGAGTCCAGTTCGGCCCAGCCTCCCCGCACTCAGCCTGAGGCCGGGGGCGGGTCACTCTGGTGTCCTCGCACACTGGCCCTCGTGTCCCCGCACACTGGCCCTCGTGTCCCCTGCCGGCTGGAAACTTTGATCCTCTATCCTCCATTCCATCCTCCCTAGTTCTGCATGTTCTTTAAAATCTACCTCAGATGCCACCTTCTCATTAAGTCTTTTCTAAATATTTTTCTGCTGGCTGTTCACTCTCAGAAAATCCCGAATATTTAAAAATTCTCTTCATTCTCAAGATTAGGAATTAAACCCTGCAATTCAATATTCATAAGAACTACAGCTCTTATATTCATATTCCCAACTGTGCTTGAAAGGGGTACTAAAGTAGAGGTCAGGAATGGATATTTTCACCTAATGACCGAAAAATGCCCTGTGCTATGCTTTGTGAGAACTATACTTTAAACCAGCAAAGTCCAAATGGCTGATAGAATTATTTATAGTCCCCTCAAAGGGACTCAAAGGTCAGAAGAAACCCAAACCATAATGCTATGAAAGGCACGCTCTCCATGGCTTGTCTGTTATGGTAGAATTCAAAGGCTTCACCTTTTCAGGCTGCTGACCATCAGTATCCGTTTCCATTTTTTCCTCTTCAGCTCCTTCTATAAACAAAAGAATAAGAACAAGTAATATAATACGGAAAAAAGTAAAAGATATTACATGGCTGTGAGAGTCTGGAATACAACTACACAGAGTAATATGGATGAACCTCACAACCACATAGCTAGCATAGAAACTATGACATAAAACAAAAAACTTTTTGATTCTATTAATTTAAAGTGCAAAAACAGGTGTTAGAAATCAGGACAGCTGCTAACCAGGGAAGGGCGCAGAGACAGAAAACAGGTGAAGTGGGGGAGGTGGGCGGGCGGGGGGAACCCTGGGTGTTATCTGTTTCTAAATCTTGGGGCCATTTAATCTGTGGGGCAAACGAGATCAGCACCCCACTTGCGGAGACCGCCGGGGTGTTTAACTTGCACAAAAGGCACTGAGCTGCCCACTGAGAGGCTCCACTTTTCTGTGTGTATAAAAATTAAAAGTTCAAAAATGATTTTAAGTAAAATGTACAAAAAAAAAAAAAAGTTTTTTTTTTAACAAGCAATGAGTACATATGTTCTGAGTCAGGCACTGGAGAAACAATATAAACGAACACACTAAAGAGAAGCAACCTGGGAGATACACAGGGCAGATGGGGGGCTTGCCCAAGGGGAGGTGGGTCGGGCTGGGAGGAAACGTGAGGGGAGTAGGGAGAACACACTGGTAGTTACAGCACAGTCGAGAGAATACAGTCAGTGACACAGGGTGGGGCAAAAGCAGGCTTAGAGTTGTTCATATGGAAAATACAGTAATTAATAAATACTACTACAAGAATACGCTCTGGGTTTCATGTACTCAAAACTGGAAACCTACTTTTGTCCCACCCTGTATCGTAATAACTGTATGCTGCCAGGTGGGAACTGGAAGTATCGGGGGAACACTTTGTAAAGTGTATGACTGTCCATCCACTATGCTTGCTGTACACCTGAAATTAATACAAAATAATATTAAACATAAACTATACTTGACAAATTAAAGAAAAAAGAACAGGCACAAATTAAGAATAGAAGATGGTTACAACAGCAAGTCTTACAAGGCCCTTGAACATGTGTGCACATGCCAACGTGTGGGGGAGAGCTAATGACCTATAAAAAGGGGCAAAAGTTCATTGTATTATGACAGTTACAGAGGAAAATGTCCCTATTCCTAGGAGATGCATGAATTATTTAGGGTGCAAATAATCATGACATCTACAACTTTGCAAAATTCACCAAAAATAATAAAATAAAAATCAATTTATTTAGATTGCTAGATAGATAAAAAAATGGCAAAGCTGAACCTTACTGGTAGACACATGGGATTTCACTGTGCTTGTTCTATCAGCATTTCAGGATGTTCGGCTACAAGCAAACAGGTTATCAGAAAGGCTCTTTTGTATTGAATGTAAATTGTAATTGGAAAAATAAAAAGACAAAGGTTATTCTGTTTAGATGCCAGGTCAAGTAAAGAAATATTTAAGTTGTTTAATAAAGGCCTCCAGCGATACAGTAAACAAATTGCCTGGATATTCAAATACATTAAAATCATAAGTTATTTAAAAAATATGTCAATTTAACAACTTGTAGATGGGGTCTGCTCTCAATCTAATAGAATGAAACTTCAAAAATACAGGCCAGGCCCTGACACACTCATGCTCAAGCCCCTCTTCTGGCTTCACGTCACTTCACGTCAACCCCACAGTGCGACCGCGGCCCGCAGGCCCCGCATCGTCCCCCGTGACCCCCTCTACCTTGCCACCCGGCTCCCTGTCCGTGGCCCCCTCACATTTCCTCAACTGCGCCAGGCGGCTCCTATCCGGGGGCCCATGCACTGGCTGTCCCCAGTGCCTAGAAGAGTCTGGCCCTGGGGGTCCACATGTTCCTCTTCCTCGCCGCATTCGCACCTTTGCTCAACGTCACTCACTTGGTGAAATACTCTTACTGTTTAAAACAGCAGGTCCCCACACTTCGCTCTTGCCTCCCTGCCATCCTTGCTTTATTTTTCAGCATGCTGCTTACCCGCCAACATACTCTTTCTACATATTTAAATTTAATTTTTACATCCTACAAGTTTTACATATCAGGTTCCCATGTATACTCTGCCTCTACGATATTAAGCACACGAGGAAAGGAATTTCACCGGTGCCCTACCTCTAGAACACATGAAAAACATGGTAACACAACACGTTTACAGCCTTATTTATCCCTAAAAGAAAAGAAAAAAGAAAGACTAGCTGAAGCCTGACCTTCCATCCAGGAACGCTTACGTTCCACGGGCTCAAGCGCGGACCCTCAGTGACTGAGCTGCGCGGTGGGCTTCTCAACATTCAGTCTTACATAAACGGGTCCTTCACAGCTGCTCCTTCTGGTGCGTGTGCCCGTTTTCTTATGCAGAGCCTGGGTCTTCAGGAGGGCCTGGGCCTTTTTCTACTGTAGTTCCCACAGTATGTACGGCAGTAGAGTACTACGGAGCTATCTACCAGGATTTAATCATCCTTGTTCAGCGAGTAAAAAACACAGACATACCTACATACTATACTTCTGGCGGTGTGCTAGAGCGAAAAGAGGCTGGGCCTGGGGTCAGAGAGACTTAAGTTCAAAATGCAGCCTGGACAGTCACAAGCATATAACCTGCCAACACCTTAGACTCCTTGCTGTTACAATAAAAAAACAATGCCACTCCTTCCAAAGCAGTCTCCTGAAAAGAAATTCAAATGACCAATCAGAAAAACCCTAAGCAGTATGTCACAAATATGGGTACTCAGCAACAACTGTTAGTTTCCAACAACTTCTGAGGGATGTTTTAAAATTCTTTTCAGCCCTGGCTGGTGTGGCTCAGTGAACTGAGTGCCAGTCTGTGAATCGAAAAATCGCCGGTTTGATTCTTGGTTGGGGCATGTGCCTGGGTTGTGGGCCAGGTTCCCAGTTGGGGGCCTTGTGAGAGACAACTGATCAATCTTTCTCTCCTTCTTTCTCCCTCTTCCCTCTCTCTAAAAATAAATAAAATCTTTAACATCTTTTCTCTTAACTTCTCCTACCTTCTCCTATAACCCAGGGCAAATAAAACCTAGTAATAATTTTATAAAATACAAAAGGTCTCAAATATCAATATTACTTTTTTTACTTGTAGAATGGTCTCTGGCCAAAGAAAACCAAAAACTACACAAGGTCAGAGAAACCAGGAGATGAATGACTAGAGTTCCACTGGCTGAAGAAGCCTTTCTGAGAAGCTGACGCCCATTTCCTAAATAATTCCTATGAAAAGTCTCCCAATAAATGAAAATGAACTATTTCAAGCCTGGTGCTCATATATCTCTACTTTTATTTCACCAAATACTTTCCCCAATCCAAATCCACAGTGAAAAATTAAGATAGGTTAATAAGAGAAATCAAAAAAGTCTTTTATTTCATAAGGAAACAGTTTTTTCCCTGTATTATATAACTATTATAAGTTAATTGGTGTAACATAGTAAATTAAGCATCAAAATGAAAAGTATTGATGAATATACCATCCAACTCCAATATTCTCTTGATAAGGAAAATCCTACATCATTCTATTCAAATCAGAGTGTTAAATAAATAAGGTGCTATTTTGTTATATACAATGTAAGCTGAAATGTACATTTAATACTTCCTTTCTTTGAATTCCCTATTTAGAGCGTGATTCAAAAAGGAGGCACAGCACTGACTTCCCACTAAGTCTTTGCTGGGCCTGTTCCACAGGGAGTGCCGTTTGCCATTTCCTAATTTATTCCATTAGTCACAGCACAATATAAATCACAGCAACTGTAATAGGCCAGCATTAGTTACAGGATGCTCTTTACAACTCATTCAAAAATATTCATATTATGCTTGTACTTTCCCTGGCCCTTATTAAACGGGAAAAAAGACCCAAAGTCTGCTGCGACGACTACTGCACACACACTGTACTTCTGGGAGGTCACCTGATAGGCTACTTGCAGATACAAGGAACTGGCTTCACTGCCCAGGCCGCTCACGGCGTCCCCTCTGCGGTCTGCGACCTTCCCCGCAGCAGCCCGACCCGAGCTCTGCACACTGTGGAAGCCACGCCATCCCTGCGGAGCAGGTCGAGTCCCACAAGGACTATGCTTGCTAGATTTTGTTTTTTGACTCTTCTTGTTTTAAATCCCACTAAACCAGAAATGGCTCAATTTGCAACCTGTTTCTTAACCAACAATGCTTCGTGGTATCATCTACCAAAAATTTAAAAACACATTTACATGTAAAAACATGTCCCTGATTCTGCAAAATACAGCAACTTCTTTGAATTAAGTAAGAAGGCTTTGCCAACACTTTTCAATTCCATGACTAAAGGGAACCAAAAGACCCTACAACAAATGAACCAAAAACACACAAAAAAGTTTGAGGAAAGGAACACTTTTCCCAGGCATTCAATAGGCCCGGGCCCCCCCGCCACCCCCAGCCAGGCCCTGCCTTGTGGTGCAGAATCAGCAACAGGCAGAGATGTGGCCCAGCTTGCTAATTCCAGCCTCCACCTAAGAGAGAGGAAGATCAGTGAGTTTTCAAGCCAGGAAACACGGTGAAAACTCTAAGTTGATTTTTAATCGAAGGCTTGGTATCTGGATTAGTAGCCAAGGTTAAGAGCAGTTAGGTCAGTAGTTTTTTCTGAGGAATATAGTGAGAGGTTTGGTTAACCTGAAAATCTTTTTTCATGTCTCCAAAGTAAGACGCTAGAGCGACACTTCAGAGAGAAGGGCAGGGCAGGCCCCACGCAGATGCATGGGAACCAGGAGGTTTTAGGCTTGAAGAGACTCACTGACATCTATTCAGATGGCCTGGAAGGGAGCCCCGGGAGTTCAGGGGGTATGGTGTGTGGAGAACTGGCTGGCAGTTTTAGTTTTTACTTCATATTATCTTTATTCTAATAAAAAATTTAAAAAATGAGGCACAGGGTGTATAAAACCCATACAATTGAGACAAAGACAGTACTAATTAGGCAAGATGACAACAGTAAATCTTTAGCTTGAGTTATTTATCAGAAACTGTTTCATAATGAATGACAAGAAAAAAGCCATAAACGATGTAAGAAACACTGGGAATACACTATTGACAACTGTATGTAAAATAACATTTTCACTTGGTGTGTAAATAAGCCTCTTAAATAGGAACACTTCCCATCTGAGAAGCCAGGTATTGATTATGAAGCTACCATATTAAAATTTTACTCCTCTTCAAGACTGATTAAGCATATATAGACAAGTAAAAGTCCTTAACAGCAAAAATATCATCTGTCAGCATCACAGACGAGCACAGTTAAACCATACATCGCAGAGGACACCTAACCAGCCCTCCCACGGCACAGAGGAGCTGGTGAAGGCCACAGCTCTTTCAGGGCCTGTGGCTTCACAGGGCAGAACCAAAATCCATGTCTGCAAAGTCCTAAAACCCAACAAACAATATGCTGTCTGTAAGGGACCCATTTACAAACACAGATACAAACAGATACAAACAGACTGAAAATAAATCAATGGGAAAAGATCTTCCATGCAAGCACAATGACCAAAAGAGAGCTGGAGTGGTATGCCAGTATCAGATAAAACAGACTTTAAGCCAAGGGAAGCAGGACATAATATAATGTAAAAAGGTCAATTCATCAAAAAGATACAATCATAAACATACCTAACAACAGTCTCAAAATACATGAAGCAAAAAAAAAGAGAAAACTGAGGGAAGAAACAGACAATACTTGGGAGATTTCAAGGCAGCACTTCCAATGAAGGACAGAACCAGAAAAAAGTAGACAACCTGAACAGCACCACAAACTAGCCACACCAAACATACACAGAAGACGCCATTCAACAATAGCAGACTATAAAAGGCATATTCGCCAGGATAAATGTTTGTTTCAATAAATTAAAAAAACAAACAAACAGAAATCACACTTATTATCTTCTCTGAATACAATGGAATGAAATTAGAAATTAATTTTAACATAAGAAAATTTAATAAATTCACAAATCAGTAGAAATTAAACAACATACTCTTAACCAGTTAGTTAAAGAAGAAATCACAGGGGAGATAAGAAAATACTCTGTGAATAACAAAACCAAAAACAAAATATATAAAAATTTATGGAATGCAGCAAGAGGAGCACTGAGACAGAAATTTATATAGCTATAGAAGTCTACTTTAGTAAATAAGATCTCAAATCAATATCTTATCTTCCAGCTTAAGGCACTATTCAAAGAACAACAAACCTATCCAAAGAACAACACAAGAAAGATAAGTATTAAAGCTAGATAAAAGATAACAGAATTGGTAAGATCAAAAGTTGATTCCATGAAAAGATAAACAATATTTATAAAACTTTATCTTGACTGATGAAGGGGGAAAAAAAGCCCAATTATTAGAATCAGGAATGAAAATGGGCACACTGCCACCAACCTTACAGAAAGAAACAAAATATAAAAGAACACTGACAACTTTTTAAAAAGGAGCCTTACTGACTTATAATTCACATACCCTATGATCAACCCAGTAAAAGTACAATTCAATGAATTTTATATTCCCAGGTATGTTCAACCATCACCATAGTAAATTTTAAAACATTTCATTACCTCAAGACAAAACCAAACCAGAAAAACACAAAAAACAAGCAGACAAAAACCTGCATACCGTTTAGCTGTCATTCACCCTCACTCCCCTCTGTCCGAGCCCTAAGCAAGCATTCCATCTATTTCCTGTCTCTATAGATTTTGCCTATTCAGGACAGTTCATATAACTGGAATTATAACTATATTATCTCTTTACTTCCCATGCTTTCAAGGTTCATCCATGGTTCTTCATTCCATTTTATGGATGAACCATTTTCTACTGTATACATTCTGCATATCTATTTGTCAGCTGATGGCCATTCGAGTTGTTTCTACTTTGGGTTATTGTAATTGTGTGTGTGTGGGGGGAGTGGGGGAACGCCAAGAAATTAATCTATACAAAATGGACAAGTTCCTGGAATGTCACTATCAAAACTGATTCAAAAACAGAACATCTAAACTTATAACAAGTAACCAGACTGAATCAGAAATCAAAAAGCGTCAATGATAACAACAAAAAGCCCAGGACTTAATGGCTGCCAAGTGAACTGTAGCAAAGATTTTTTAAAATATTAAACACAAATAACGTCTCAAAACCTCCCCCAAATTAGAATAACTCCTAACTCATTCTTTGAGGTCAGTATTACCCTGACACCAAAACCAGGAGAGATATCACAAGGAGTGAAAAGTACTAACACAAAAAGTATATAAACACAAAAATCCTAACAAAACAGTAGCAAGCCTATGCCAATAGAACAGGAAATAAACAATTCACATTGACCAAGTGGTATTTATCTCAGAAACACAAAGGTGGTTCAACAGGAAAGATTCAATTAATATAAGACATATATAGGATAAAGTAAAAATACCAAACACCTCGCCTGATACAGAAAAAGGTGACAAAAATCTAACACTAACGATAAAAACACTCAAACTAGAAATAGACAGGAAGTTTCTAACCCTGATGGAAGGAATCTATGACAGTCTAACAGCTCACATACTTAATGACGAAGCGCTAAAGGCTTTTCCTCCAAGATAAGGAAAACAATTTCATTTACAACAGCATCCAAAAGAATAAAATACACAGGAATAAATTTATCCAGGAAATGCAAGACGTGTGCCAAGAAAATGCAAGACTAAAAACTTCAAAACATTGCTCCAAGGAATTTTAAAAAACCTAGATAATGGAAAGCTGTCCCATGTTCATTGATTAAAAGACTTAACATTGTTGAGATGGCAATGCTCCCCAAGTTGAAAGCAAATAAAAATCAGTGAGATACTACTTCACACCCACTAGGTTGTTATTACTGAGAAGGGAAGGGGAAAACCAGTGTTGGTGACAATGTGGAGAAATCAGAACCATCGTATGTTGTTGGTGGGAACATAAAGCAGCACAACCACTATGAAAAACAGCAGAGTAGTTGCTCAAAAACTTAAACATGGGATTATCATATGATCCAGCAAGTCCACTCCTAGGTACCCGAGAAGTGAAAAACCCATGTTCACAAAATAACCTGCACACAGATGTTTACAGCAGCATTATTCAAACAATAAAAAAGTGGAAACAATACAAATGATCATGAACCAATAAACTGGGTAAGTAAAATGTGGTGTATCCACTTTAAAGAATATTATTCAATGTAAAAAGAAATGAAGTACTAATTTATACAACATGAATGAACTTTGAAAACATTATGCTATGTAAAAGAAGCCAGATGCAGAAGGCCATGTGTTGTGTGGCTTCATTTATAGGAAGTATCCAGAGCAGGCAAGCCCACCGAGACAGAAAGCGGACTAGTGGTTCTAGGGTGAAGAGACGCGAGAAGGGGGGGGTGACTAAATTCATGAATTTTCTTTGGGGATGATGAAAATGTTCTGCGATTCAGTGATGACAGCAGCACAACACTGTGAACATACTGGGAGGGCTGAAAAGTTTTACTAGTTTTTTCCTTAGGATGGCTTTAGTGGCGCTTTAACTTCATGTAACAGTTTTGTTAGAGTGTACTGTGACGGTTGTCCTATCAGTGTGCATTTTTAAAAAAACATCAAAACTGGTGAATTTTTGTGCAGACATTTTACTACTGAAGATAGAAGAAGATAAGTAACACTTTCTGGCATATTATGCTTTATTTCAAGAAAGTTAAAAATGCAAAAGAAGATCCGTGCAGTGTATGGAGAAGGTGCTGTGACCGACTGAACGTGTCAAAAGTGGTTTGCAAAATTTCTTGTACTATTGATATTTTTGCCAAATAATCCTTTGCTGTGAGACTCTTATGCATTGGAAGATGGTTAGCAGCACCCCTGGCCTCTACCTAGTAGAAGCCAATAGCAGGAGATGGCCAACATACTCAAAATATCCAAATCAATCAAGGTATTGGCGAAAATGAAAAAAATGTCTTGTATTTTACAGAAAAAACGAAGCAGACTTTTCGGCCAACTCAATACTAGAAGCCACTGGATCATACACCTTTAAGTGGTTAAAATAGAGAATTTTATGTGATGTGAATTTTAACTCAATTTAAAAATAACCAAAACAATGAACTTAAACCTACACAGTAACCTATGAATTAAAATACTGTCAAGTCCTTTCAGTATTCTCAAGTCTACAGGCTTAAAATCTAGATCTAGAAACAGGCACCAGATAATTCACAACAGTGATATTATTAATAGTTAGGAGAGAACATTTTAGTTCTAACTACTATTTAAAAAAAGGGATGAGAAAAAAAAATCGTAGACTAATCTTAAGAGACAGGTTTATACTGATCACAACACTCACTCGTAAGAGAGCCCAAGGATTTTAGCGAGCTCAGAGGAAACTACAAGACGGGCCAGCCCTGTCCTGGGACGCGGCAGCAACTCACCAAGCTTTTCTGGCTCATCAGGCCCTGTGCCTGCGATGCAGCTGCTCTCCAGGCCGTAGGTGGGATCCACCTTCCCAGAGGCCCGAGCTGCTTCTTGTACTTTCTTGACATGAGCTTCTACCAATTCCAGTGGTACCTCCTCCCGGACCCGTGAAAACTCCTCTGTTTGAGAATAAAAATGGAACAGTGGTCTTGTTTTACACAAATATTTGCTTCACCATAAACCACTAGGAAATCCAACCCATATTAATGTCTTGTGTGTAGTGGCCTTTCTGGCGACTCAGTCCTTTCTATTCCAGAAAAACTACCTCATGAAATGAAAAACTGCACAGTAACGTAAACCTTTGACTACATCTTACCTTATATGTCACAGTATCTTGGTACACAAATGAGAGATCGTTAAATTTCTATCAGTAACAATCAAAACTGCTGTCCAAGTTTTTATCTAACAGCCTGCTAGATTGAGAATAAAGAAAACAGCAAGGATCAACAACCTGAAAGCCAAGAAAGAGTTCTATGGTGCGGTAAAGTTCTAGTTATAATTAGTAATATAATCCAAGAATGTCAAAGTGACTCTTTTGCTAGTTGTATCAAATTTCAAATGAATTACCAAATATAACATAAAAAATGTTTTTGGACCCTCCCTAATTCTTGACACTCTTAATTTTAAAACTATTACATTGTAAGTGCTTTAGTTTAAACCATTACAGTACTTTTAAATATAACAGTATCTAAGATGTAATATCTAATTTTTGTCATAAGTAACTGAAATATAACACATGACAACATTTAAATCTGAGGTCACGTTAACGTGAAGGACAGTATTAAACCATTATCTGAAAACATCGTGCCGATAAGATGGCCTTGCAAAATCCATACCCAAAGCTGCCTTTGCTGCAGCAGATGCCACACGAGGGTCCACCACAGATGCCAAAAAGGCCACGGTGCTCATGACTGGGTTTCCTGATTGACTAAAGGGGACAGGCTGGTAGGCCAGGGGCCCAAGGGAAGCATCTGAATTCTCCAGGTACGGGTCCTCAATGGGGAGCCGCAGGAAGTGGAGGATGCACTCGTCCTGAGTACGACTTCCGACGTGCTCTGAGACTTTGTTCCAATCATCCTTGTACATCTCCAGGGCCTGCAACAGAAAAAAAAACAGGGGCTTTGGTACCAGATAACAAGGAGTGCTGTATGTCACAACACGAGAGGCCTGTGACTATTTTTTACATAGGTTTTTTAAAAAATAATGAAAATGGTTATACTTTACATTAAAAGGCACATACGTTATAAAGGAAAGCCAACTGTCTTTTATGACTACACAGGGTTGTTTACATAGAAAATCTTAACGAGTCTACAAAAAGGGCACTAAAACTACAAAGTTTTGCAAGGTCACAGGACAGGAAGGAGTAGAAAAACTCAATTGTGTTTCTATGTACACTAGCAATAAAAAATTTTTTAATTGGGTGATGTTAAAATATCTAAAAATAGCACAAAAACAAAATACTTAAGAATAAATATATTAATGAACATGCAAGGTCAACATGCTGGAGAAAATAAAACACGCTGAGAGGAACCAAAAGCCTCAACACAGAGGCGCCCTGTGCTCCTTCGTAAGATGCTGCAGCACTGTCAGGACGTCGGCTCTCTCCGAACCGAACCGGGTTCAGTGCAATCCTATTCCACCGGCAAGCTTTTTTTTTGAAATTCAGAAGCTGATACTAAAATTTATAAAGTACACAAATTTCTAGTGTTAAAATTTGTAACTTTTCATAGAAAATGCTGAAAACCTTCAAGAAAAAAAGTAAAAACAATCTCTCCAAAAGGGAAAGGGACAGAATGGTATAAAGAAAATCAGACATGCAGAGCTGAGAGTCAAGAAATTAACTCGGTAGAAGGAATATATGCAGTAGCTTCCCAAAGTGGCTACTCCCATGGTTCTCTCTAGAGCCACGTTGTTCAAACAGGGGCAAATTTTGCCTCCCTGGGGACATCCAGCAATGTTTGGAGGTAATTTTGGCCAACGTAACTGGGGAGTGCTATTGGCACCTTGTTAGTAGAGACCACAGATGCTGTTGAACATTCTACAGCGCCTTTAAGAGCCCACAATAAAAAAACTGAGGCCAAATGTCAAGGGTGGCAAGGCTGCAATTCCCCGTTCTTGAGCCCGATTTGCTGACCGCCCCTGTGGCGTGAGCCCGCTGCGGGCTGGCCCTCTCCGCCCCTGCCTGCCTCAGTGAACTCTGACCCCCAGCGCTCTTTCTCTAGAGTGCTCCTCAAACCCCAAGCCAACCAATGGTCTTACCCAGAAGTTCCCGTAAGAAACAAGGCTGACTCTGGGTTTCCTTTGGATAGTCAGCAGCCTTGGATAGGTCTAGAAGGAATTACTTAGAAAAAAGACCCAGATTGAAAAACGCGAAGAAAAATATTCCATTTATCTTACTAGGGTGTTTGGGATCAGAAACTTGTAACTGGGGCCACTGTAACTTTTATGAGCCGAAATTTTTTTGGTATGCTCCATCATAATCCTTTCAAACAGTTATTTAAACTTCTTTTCCTTTACTCATTTTCTTTCAGCCAGAGAAAAATAGGCAAGTTCAGAAAGTTTTTTTCCAGAATAAAGCTAAGGAACCCTACGACCCGCAGAATTCAAGCCAGGGCCGACACCCAGGGCAGCACAATGCGGCTGAGCAGGGGCGAGACCCTGGCCCGGGCCCTGGCAGAGGGCTGGCCTGGAGAGGGCGGGTAATGCGGGACGTGCGGTAACCACAGAACACCTGCTCCCTCCTGCTGCCACAACCCGGCTCTCCATCGGTACCTGCGGATCCTTAGAGCTGTCTGTCTCTCTCTACCCTTAAAGTCATCCCTCTTCCTGTGGCCAGAGTAAAGCATGTTTCACACAGGGCACTGTCTCTCTCTTGCCTAAAACCACTTCATTGCTCATCATTATCTTGGGGAATTGAGGGCCAGCCATGACTGGGGCTCTGCCTGCTCCTTCCACCCCTGCTCCTTAATGTTCCAGGAATACCCAGATGCCACAACACCGTTCCTCAGTACTGCCACACACAGACTGTTCTATACTAGAAATCTCATGTACTAGAAGCTTTCCGCTCCCAGGAAGCTGCCCATGTGTCTCATCCACCCAGCCCGGTGGCACAGTCACTCCTGCGCCTTGTGCCTCCAATTATGAAGCTGAGGACACTGCATTCATTTTGTGGTTTAATCTGTTGCTGTCCCCCGCTACACTCTGAATTTCTTAATTGTTGAGGCTGTGGCCCAGCCCTCTCAATTGGAAGTGTCTACCATAGAGCCCGGAACACAGTGCGCAAATCACAGAGCCCATCGCCAAACTTCACGTGAAACTGGGTTAAGCCAGGAAAGGAATTAATGGCTCCAAGAGTAAAAAAGAAAAAAGACTAACAAACTCCGTTAAGGCTTTCTTCCCCCCTTCAAGACAAGATTTTTATTGGAAGACATAGTCATCCAAAAAAAATACTATTTCTTGTGTTGCATATGAAGGAAAGTATATTAAGTGCATGTATTCTGTGAGAAAACCTTTGACAGTGCTTACTAAATAGCTGCTACTACTGTTTCTATAACCTAGCTAGTAGAAAACATATTAAGACACTTTTTTAGGGGATGATAAACAAACATTAATAAACCTCATGAATTTTATTTGCAGGTACAAGATTTTATGTCCATTAATTATCTAAGGGAAAGTAAATACGTGGCATGAGAAAGCACAGCAGGCACAAGAAATACTCAAGTTAACACAGGAGAACCAGTAAGCTCACAGATTCAAGTTTTGTCATTTTCAAGCCCAGGGACAAATGACCAGGAAGAGTATTTTAACAACTGTAAACTTTAACTATGAAAGCATCTTTAAAAAAAAATCTCCTCAAACACTGTGGAACAGAAGGGCACCACGTCTTTCACTGTGGCGCTCTATCAATGCAGTGACTTCAAACTGCTCTAAGGACTGACTCAGCCTTTTGTGGCTTCTACCGATGACACATTTTCAGGTCAAACACCTGAAATTCCTCACACATTTTACAAATGAACTCTTACTCAAACAGCCTTCATCATATGGATCCTCCGCAAACTATTTCTTAAAAAGCTAATGTAGAGCCTTTATTTGCCAAATTGAAATTAGGCCTCCAACATTTATAATAAAACAATGAAATGAACATAAGATAGTAACCAGCAGCCTTCCATACAGGAGCAGCGTTTTCATAAGAGACCACATCCAATAAAGTCTTTTTTAAATAAAAATGGGTGGTTTCAAGAATAATCCAAAACATCAGGAGTGCGGCCTGTGTGATATCTGACTAATAAAATAATGTATTATTTTCTTGAAAACCCCGAGTCTTCCAGATTTATTAGGAAGAAACTGACTGCGTTTTTGGTTAGAAATCCATTAAAATTTTCCATCTGACTTCATGCTCTTAAGCTATTAGTAAATAAACAAACCATATCAATAGAAGGTGTTAGTGGTAAACAATGCTGCTGGGAAGCCTTTTATTTCTCTTTGCGTAAGCTGGGACACCACCTGTCAACTCCGCCCCGTGTTTAAAAGAAAAATCGATGACTGCACAGGTTCCACCTGCAGAAGAGGAAAAGCACTATTGTATAAAGATGCTGTGGTTTTCTTAGTATGGTCAGTGTAAACAGTGACTCAGCCGTTGTGACCTTACTCTGCATTTACTATCAATGGATGTGACGGAAGGGGAGAAAGTTTAGAGCACCCATGTGCAGCAGAAAGAAATGATGTGAGACCTGGTGTTTCAGTGGGTGCTGCACAACTAAGTGTCTCTGCAAAATCCAATATAAAAGTGTATTCTCTTACTCCTACAAGAACTGCGCCTTTTTATTTTTAGAAGATTTTGTTTGTTTATTTTTAGAGAGAAGGGCAGGGAGGGAGAAAGAGAGGGCGAGAAATATCGATGTGCAAGAGAAGCATCGATCGGTTGCCTCTCACACACTCCCAACCAGGGACCTGGTCTGCAACCCACTTACGTGTCCTGACCGGGAGTCAAGCTGGCAGGCCTTTGGCCTGTGGGATGACGCCCAATCCAGTGAGCCACACCAGTCAGGGCGGCACTGAGTCCTTTTAAATTCACACCCCTGGCAGGTATGGCTAGACAAAACAGCCCCGAAGTAAATGAAAAGCAGCTCTCTGTATACTATCGCTATTGAATGGGCAGATGAGAATTAAAAACAAAAAAAGAAAGAAACCATTTTGAATTTTGACTCTGAAAGAGATTCTGACAAACCAGGAAAAGTAAAAGAGGTGGAAAAAAGTAAAGAAAATGGTTAAAACACCACTAAAACTTAAGGAACCACAACGGTTAAAACAACTCAAAAAACGAAATCAACGCTTTACAGAAACACGCAGCATCACCACTGTCTCTCTCGAAGCGCGGCCGGGAGACCCAGGAGGGGCCGGACTCGGGGGACCGAGATCGAAGTCGTTCCCACGGCCATCTGAGCGCGCGCCCGCCCCTCTCGTCATGTCACGCTGGCAGCAGCGGCTGGCGCGGGAGCGATGTGGCTGAGCCACTGCCCTCAGCATGAATCCAGGCAGTGGAGCCAGAGCGTTTTGACAGTCACGTTATTCTTCACTGGCAAAGATCAAATAAACCAACTCTAGTTAACTGTTTCCTTAATGAAACAGGGAAAATTATTAATTTCACTGAATCTAAACACCTAAGTCCACGTGTTTCAAACATCTGGGGCTATGAAAAGGGAGGTACACAAGAGGGCTTAATATCAACCATCAAAGCACAACAGCTGACTGAAGGGAAAGCATTTGTGAGACTGTTCGAGGTTCAAGCTCAACTCGCTGCTCTTTTCACCGAAAACCATTTTTACTAGAACAAATGGTTAACACCATTTACAGATTGGTTTTACAGATACAGATATCTGCCTGATATTTTCTGAAAAACAAACAAGAATTCGCCAAATGTCACCGCCAGGAAAACAACTGATAGTTTGTTGCCAATGATTAAAAAAAAATTAGAATTCTGAAAAAATATGTATCTGCCATAAAAGCCTGTCTGAATATTTAACAAACAATTTCAGATAGAAGATGAGTTTGGTGCTAATATTATCAAATGTGATTCTAAAAACTATTGTATAACTAACTGTTACCAACACTTGGAAAATCTGCATAATTCAGTAAACTAGTATTTCCCAATTTATTAATATGAGATGTTACATAATCATAAACTGATAGAAGATAAAGTGCAAGAGACCAATGGAATCCACGCTGTAACTAACCTTTAAGAAACTAGAAGTGGTCAAGTTTTAGTGCAGTATTGAGAAAGAATATCCCTGAAAAGGCCACTGAGATACTCCAGCTTTTCCTATAACACACCCAGGCACTGCCAAATTTTCCTAATAGATTCAAATTAAAACAATGTATAAGATGGAAAAACAAATATGAAAATCCAGCTGTATTCTACTAGACCAAACGTTACAGATTTGCTAAAATGTGTAACACCACACTTTTCACTAATATTTTATTTTTCAAAATCCATTTTCCTTTTTAAAAAAATTGTTTTGAAATTTTTGGGGTGACACTGGTTAATAAAACTATATAGGCCTCAGGCGCACGATTCCATAGCACACCACCTGCGCGCTGTACCGCGTGTTCGCCGCTGCAAGCCAGGTCGCCTTCCGTCTCCGATCACCCCCGTCACCCCTCCTGCCTCCCCCTGCCCCTTTCCCTCCTGTAATCACCGCACTGCTGTCTGTGTCTATGGGTTTCTCTTCGTTTGATTAATCCCTTCACATTTTTCTTCACGCAGCCCCTCAACCCCTCTCCTCTGACAGCTGTCATTCGGTTCTCTGCATCTATGAGTTTCTTTCTGTTTTGTTAGTTTATTTTGTTCATTAGATTCCACATATAAGTGAAATCATGGTGCTATAACTGAGCAGTGGAAAGAATCTTGGAATTGCCCAATGAAGAAATACAGTCGAGCAAAAAAAAAATCCAATCAATGTCCTTTTGGTTTAATCTACTGTTCGTCAGATTTTCTGTTCCTTGAAGGCGGAAGCATTCCTAGCGCATTTAACAATAAATGCCCTCTTTGGTCCTAAACAGCCCCCAGAGTCCCATTCTCCAAGTCCTAACCAGTGCCCCAACAACCGCTGTTCTCTCCTGAAGACAAATGGCCCCCTTCAGAAATGGCTGCTACATATGAAGCCCAAAATTCTCTATCTCCTACCCTTCAGAGTAGAAATAATTGCTAAGATCTCCTTGTGCAAGTATTTGTAAGAATCTCCAAAGACATGAAGAAATCCAACTAAGAATTCCATAAAAACCAACTGACAGATCTCTCACGTACCACCGGCTCACCAGTGTTTGCTTTCATAAACAAAACAACGTTGTCAGTGGCAGGTCCTTCAGCTACTTCTCGGAGTCCTGGGACATACCGAGGTTATACGCTCAAACGCACACAGGCACTGGGAGCTGGTCTACGATGCCTATGGGGGGCTGAGTTAGGAAAAACTCCAATCTGAGGAAACGCTCAACTTCAGAGGACAATCTGCTGTTCAAGGGCGGCCAATTGTCGCTGTGTGAAAACGAGGTCCCAGGATTGCCAGATCTTCCAATTTTGGAGGAAAAACTAGAAATCTTTGGCAAAGCTCCAATGTTTGTTTAATGTTGGCAACAGATTTTAAACCAACACAATAAAATCCAACCTGGGCCAAAAGAGCACATATCCAGGCTTCATCTCCCCTGCTGACAGCCAGTATGTAACCTCTAGGTTTGATATTTAAATAATAAAGACCCGAGGAAATTCTATTAAAGTTCATTACATGGATCAAAACATTTCAGAATAGATTCCACAGGCAGCTTTGGAAAGCCGGCCCAGAAATGCAGCGCTCGTCTTGCGGGCGGATGCAGGCCCTCTGCCCCCGTGCTCACCTCCAGGAGGAGCAGGGTCTCCTGCTCAGTCCACTCTCTTCCGGCGCTGGCACCTTTACTCTGAAAAACAAAGCCAGACACGATTAACTGTTCCTAAAGGCTGGCAGGGAGCTCAGCAGGATTCCTCCCTAAGTTCTGGGGGCTGTTTTACACAAACCACCAAAATAAGTCCCTGAGTAACAGGAAGAAAACACTTAGGGAACCTAAACTGCCAACAGAAAGGGTGACTATTCCCAAGATTTCTTATCTATTGATAACTCACAGACGATTTATACATATTATTGCTATATTTTTATATTTGAAATAATCTTGTGAAGCTACAAAGGCATGGTATTTCAATGGATACCATAAATCAGGTATAATATTATAACGATAATGCAAATATTTGGGGTAGCTTGAAGGCAGTCTTTTTTCCAGTTTCAAGGACAAGTTGCACTACATATAAAGGTTTCAAGAGGATTCTTGGTTCAAATGTGACAAATTCATGTTATCTCATTTTTAATATCTCCTGAGGAAAATAATGTCTAAGTGATTCCCTAATCTCCAAATTGCCTTTTCCATAAGAATCCCTTATAACTTACAATTCATGTGGGCATTGGAGGTGTAAGAAAGCCAAGTTTGCGTTCTCTAAAAATTAAAATGTACCAACTGATTCATAGTCTGGATTTGCAGACCCTGCTCCATTCATATTTGCAGGGCTGGATGTGTGGTATAATTGACATTATTCTTTACTTAGAGGTGTTATTAATTCAAAAGACACATTCTAACGTATTATCTCCTCTCTGAAAAGTCTATTTTGAGAGATTACAATTTAACAAATGAAAAAATTTTGACAGCCTATGATTTCCCTGTTTGAGCCTATAAAGTTTCTTAAATTTTACTCAGGCTGCTAAATACTTGGGGTAAAAATTAAATTATGATTTGCTAGGTCTCCATGATATTCAATACACATATTCTGAAATAGTTGCAAAAAATGTACTAAAAATACTAATCCTTTAATTAGAGAGTAGAAAGAGGACTCTTAAGCACTGCAGAAATGAAGTCCTCAAGTACTGCGGTGTGAGAAAAAGATGCACATAGCTGTCACTCACAACGTATTGTTTGGACTCTTGAGGATTACTTTAAGATGCAAAGGTTCATCTTTTAATCAATCAACATCAGAAGCGACCCTTGATCAGACTGGGAGTCCCGAGAGAAACAAAACTCACTAATGTTTCACCTAAATCCTGAGGAAGCCAAACCCGAATCCAGGGCAGAGCTGTACAACCTCGGTATGGATGGCATCTACTGGGAGGGTCCTCACTACCATTTCCCCACTTCTCAGCTTTTTAGGGACTTGTCCATTTCATCAAATTGTCAAATATATTATCACCAAGCTGTTATTCATATTGTTTATTGTCTTTTTAATATACGTCGTATCAGTAGTGTTGCACGCCCTCATTCCTGATCAGCAATTTCTGACTTCTCTTTTCTCCTTGATCTCTCTGGCTAGAGGTTCATCAAATTTATTGACCTTCTCGAATAACCATCTCATTTCATTGTTTTCTCTAATGTTTTTCTGTTTGTGTTCGGTTTCTAATTTAATTCTGTTGTGGTCAGCCAAGCACATTTATTTCACATGTATAAAATGATACAACCAACCACACTGTATAATAGCCATCTTTTAAAATCTGAGCCTCATTTTATGACTCAGAATTTGGTATATTTTGGTGAATGTTCCCCAGGGACTTCAAAAGAATGTCTTTTACGCTGTTTTGCATAGTCTTCTGTGAATACCAAATAGGACGTGTTGGTTGATAGTACTGCTCTAAGTCTTTTATAGTCTTACTCTCTATCTACTTGTTTTATCAGTTATGGAGAAAAGGTCACTGCAACCTCCAGCTGTGCATCTGTCCGCCTCATTCCTCCTTCCTGTTCTACTGGTCTTTGCTTTTGAAGCACCACAATTTGGTGCTTACATATGTAGGATGATCATGACCTCTTAACTGATTGATTCCTGTATCATTAGGAAGTGTCCATTTAATTCTGGCAAATTAGTTGTTCTTGTGTCTACTTTACCAATAGTAACACAGTGACTCTAGCTTTCTTTTGATTAGTCTTTTACATTCTTTTATATTTGAAGTATCTTCATATTTAAAGTGGGTTTCTTATAGACAGCATATACTTGTACTTGTTTTATACACTTAAGAGTATAAAACCACTTATAGTTGTTACTACTACCCCTACGGTGAGATATAAATTTACCATTTTGTTATTTTCTACTCTTCCCAAATGTTCCTTGTGTTCCTGTTTCCTTTCCCCTTGTGGAGTATTTTTATCTCTATTATTGACTAAGTAGTTAATACATCTTTAAATAGCTGCTCTAAGATATGTAATACCTCTAATTTGTCACAATGTACCTTCAGATAATATTCAGTACCTCACGTATAAGAATTTTAATACAATACTTCCATTTCTCTCTCCTACTCTTTGAGCTATGTTTGGTTTTTAATCTACATGCTATAAACCTAATGATACAATCTTTTTGGGTTTAAACAGTCTATTATCATCTTTAAAAAACAAAAATAAAGGAAACCATCTTCCGCGCTGCCCCACGTGGTCACCTCTTCTTCTGGTGCTCTTTATTCTTCCATGTGGATCGAGTTCCCTCCATGAATCAGAACTTTTACCACATGCCTAAATAATGTCAGAACTTTACAACAGTTTAACTCATTTAATCTTCTGTTTTTCTGCCACATCTGTCATTTCCATGTGACATATAAGTCCTCAAAAGTACTCATTGTTTCAAACCGTCTATACATCCTTATATTTAACTATTCATTTACCCTTTTCCACATTCCTTATTCCTTCTTAGAGTCATTCGCTACCACCTGGGATCACTGTCCTTCATCCTGAAAACTTCCTTTACTTTTCTTATAGTTTCTAATTAAACAAGAAGTAAGTGTGTAAGCCAGTGATAACTTCTCCACCTTTTGAGTGTCTGAAAAGGTCTTTATTGCTATTTCAATCTTGGAAAGTATTTCTACAGGATATAGAATACCAGAGTGCCAGTTTTCCTTTCAGTATTTTAAATGTTATTACTTTGTCCTTTGGCTTCTAAGATTTCTGCTAAAAAGTCAGACACCAGTTTTATTACTGTTTCTTCGAATTTAATGTGTTCACCAACCCCACTCCCACCCTGCCCTCCTTGGTTGCTTCTAAGCTAAGTTTAAGCACAATGTGCTTGGGTGTGGTTTCCTCTGTATCCAGATTTGGGTCTGTTCAGTCTCTCTTATTCTGTGCGTTGATATCTTTTTATTAGTTATGGAAAATTTTCAGTCATTACTTCTTCAAATGTCACTTTTGTTCCATTTTTTTTCCTTCTTGTAGGTCTCTAATGATAAATAAAATTTTTCCCCACTGTATCTCACAAGTCTCTTGTACTCTGTTGTCTTTGTCCACCTTATTCAATTTGTTTTTCTCTTGATCCTTCAGTTTCAATAAATCTACTAACTTGTTTGAGTTCACTAGTCCTGTCTTCTGTTAAACTCATCCAATGAGTTAATTTCAGGTATAGTTTTCAATTATACCATATTCATTTGATGTTTGTTATATATTCCAATTCTGTTGATATTCTCCATCTTGTCTTCAATTTTCTTTTAACATATTCATCATGGTTGTTTTTTAAATACCTATTTTCTATCCATATAGAAGAAAAAGGTAAAAGAAGTAGTTATTCTATAAAATGCCATCAGGTTAAGGAGAAAGCTCACCTCCTTACACTGTAGACAGTAAATTAAGTGTCTCATGGGAAATGATGCTTCTTGGAAGGAAGAAAAACAAAGAGGACATGCTAGATTGCAGTCAATGTGTTGTCTGAGAAAAAAATCCTTACCTTTGCTAAGGTTTTCTTGGAGTAAATGTCAGTACGGAGACCAAAGTTCTGCAAATCAATTGGTTTTTCCTTGTTCTTCTCAGGAAAATTTAACATCTGCTGAGCAGCAGGGACCTGTGAATCAGATAAATGATAAATAGCTGTAGTAACCTCTACAAAGTCAAGGGAACAGAGTTTTTAAAGGACTGTTTGATACTGACACTTATTAAACCACTCACTCCTGGTATAGACACTACAAAAAAAACAACTAATACGTTCACACTACACTTCTAATAAAATTCCAACACATGAGAAACATTTTTCTGTCTTTTTAAGTCACAGAGAAAAATAGACAACAAATAGTGTTAAATATGATCTTCCATTCACAATGGAGGACAATGTATAGCTTAGATTCATGCTCTTCAAATTAATGGTGTACATAATGTGACTGACATAACGTATTGAAGAACATGTGTATGGATGTCTACTTTCCAAATGTTATGAAGGGGAAGAAGTTTCAAATAGTTTAACAATCTGCTCGTTTAATTAGTGTTTTTGAAGACAGAAGTGAACTAAGGGAATCCTGAGTATGTATGAAAATCTAACACGTGACAGAATAAGGCACGGAGTCTCAGGATTGATGGCGGAGCATTACCTTGAGCACAAAATAGTCTTACAGACTCGAACATTTACAACAGATAAAAACAGACAAAATCTACCAGCTAAACAACAGCACGATTACTGGACAAGAGCAGTAATTCCTGAACGTGAATGCCAGAAGTGGAAGTCTGTTACCTGAAGAAAAGGCAGCATTAGCTTACCTGAGGCGATCGAAGATGCAGAGGCACGAGCCCAGAGGGGGTATCAGCCAATACATTGAAATGAGGAGTAGGAGGAGGTCCCATTGCCATGGGCCGGCTTTCTGGATCAACTTGGTAATTAACAAGCCCCCACTGCTCTAAAAAGGCATGAACCCTAAAGAATAAAGCTGAGGGTTAAAATCTGGAGAATGTACTTCATCTCCTTCATAACCATCGTCATATTTCAATTAAAAAAACCAAACAAGTAAACATGTTCTCTGTAGGCTATGAACCATCAAAAAGTAACTGACAATTTCGGTTTGTTGAATGAGGGACAATTTCTACAAGCTCAAAATAATGTTGACAATATAGCACCTCAAGACCTAGTACGAAACCTAATCATTTCGGTCACAGAAACGAGAGTAAATGCTCCGTTCGACCCATGCTGCGAACGTGGTCGCGCCCAGTCCACACTCACAGGACAGCCACCTTTTGGTTTGTTTCTACAGAAAGACCTTGGGTGACTCACTTCCTGCCCAACCTGCTCTCCGCCTCTGTCATTTGGTAATTTGACTTTAAGGTAAGATTATAAAATCTTAGAGGGAAAAATTCAAAGTCTTACAAATATGCAATCCCTAAATAAAAGACGTAAGATTAAGTTATTTTTATTAACCAAGAAAACATCCAGTTCAATCAACGAAACATCCGACAGGAAGTCCCAGGGGCCGCCTGCCTGGGCGCCTAAGAGAGGCAGGCACTTACCTCATCACAGCACACACGTCCCCAGTCAAGTTCCTTCGGCAGGCGGTGCTGGTCAAATACTCTTGGGGGTTTAGGCGATAGGTGTCAATCATAAAATTTCGATATGCCAAGTATCTAAAAAGCAATGGCAAAATTCTTAAGGTGGACACACATCCTTTCAGAAATAGTAACTCACAGAGCTAAAAATCAGCATAGCCCTCACAGCCAAATACAACAAAAAGTTATCGCACCATTCCAACAGTGACGTCATACTGAGTCTTTACCGTCAACAAGTGCAGACGGAGGTAGCTGCCGGCAGCCCCCCGTTACTCAGATTGTCTCCCTAATCACAGTCGGCCCTCTGCATCCGCAGATTCCCAACTGCAGAAGGAAAAAAGTTTCTGATCCACAGATGGTTAAACCGGCAGAAGCGAAACCTGTGGATACAAAGGGCCGACTGCACAGGGTTCGGCCACATCCTAGTTTCAGGGATCCCTCGGGGTCTTGGAACATACCCCCTGCAGATAAGGGGTACTGTGCCATGCATCTAGCATTTACTGTGTGCCACGCACGGTTCTGAACACTAACTCATTTAACCCTCACAATCTCTCTATGGAGTATGGTCTGTTATCATCCCTTGTATAGAAGAAAATAAAGCCCTGAGTGACTAAAGAATTTGTTCCAGGCCACAGACTGGTGGGAAGGATGAAGGTGGAATTCAGCACAGACAGTGTGGGGCTCCTGACCTAGGCGGCATCTGGTTTCTGCACGCTTCCTAGAGTCCCACGGAGATGTGGCTCTGGCATGGCTACATACCTTCCACCCAGCAGTTGTTCAGAGATCCCAACCAGGCAATGAGTAGAAGCCACGAGGCCAAACTCAGAGGTAACACAGAACGTATGTTTTTTAAAAAGAAGAGAGCGCTGGTGGGTGTGGCTCAGTGGACTGAGCAACAGCCTGTGAACTTAAGGGACGCAGGTTTGATTCCCAGTCAGGGCACCTGCCTAGGCAGTGGGCCAGGTCCTCAGTGTGGGACGCACTAGAGGCAACCACACATTGATGTTTCTCCCTCTCTCTTTCTCCCTTCCCCTCTCTCTAAAAATAAGTAAATTTTTTTAAACCTTTTTAAAAAATAAAAGAAAAACAAATCTGGGGTCAGAGCAGATTTCACAATGTACCCAAGTATTTTTGCCACAAAATACTTAAAACAAGTGTTAAGAAGCTAGGGACCAGGCAAAAGTTCTTGCCACAGAAGGCTGGCAGCCCGAGGTTAGCTACATCGGATTAGAAAAGGTACCCTGCTCAGGAAGGGTCCTGTAAAAGCACGGGTGGGAAAACACAGACTGAGAGGTGAATTTACAAAGTAAAACAGGCAAAGTGCTACACTGTTCTTTTAAACAGAAGACTCCCAAGGACTGTAAGTCCTTTTATATCCTGCCAATAAGCAAATTAGGTGGACTAATATACCATGTCTGAATAGATGGAAAAACTACTGGGGAAACTAACAGGGTTTCTTTTGCCAAACCTCTGACTGGTTCCAAATGACCCCTTACAGCTTTGCTATAAAAATGTTGACTTTATCTTTGACATCTAAACTTAGAATCTCTTAACTATCTTGTACAATCTAACACCAGCATATATTTAGCACTCAGTTATTCATACTATGCCGTGTGCTTTATGTGGGAAATTATCCTTCCCTAACAATCTAAAGAAGAGACATCTATTTTGCAGTTACATGTGCACAACAGACAATGGACTAACATCATGAAGATAATACATGGAAAACTATTTATAGAATAATAGATGTGGGTTTATTTTAGAGGCAAGACTTTCAGAAGTATGTATTTAACGGTCACCAGGCAAAAACAAAAATACAGCCTAACGAACTTCTTTCCAATAAAAGTTTTTCTATTTCCAATGGAAAAGCACAACAATTCTTTATACAATGAAGAGCAATTCATATGGAGCTATATCAGTCTATTTGGCATTCTTTTAATGACTAGTCATTCATCAGGAAAATAAGATAAAAATTCCATTTCCTCCTAGATTATTAAATATAAATATCTATAGTTGATAACACATATGTACACACAAGGTGGGAACTGTTAGAAAGTAACCTGAACAAATTTTAGTGCAAAATCGTTACTGAATTCAAGCTTTACTTGCAAGAACTAAGATGTATATAGTTCAAGGTTGAGGGGAAAAAAAATCTGAAACAATTTACTTTAGGGCAAGAAATTCTGTGCAGCAGAAATATGAATACTGTTCTGAACAGAATAAGATATTTGCAAACTTCCACACATTAGCAAACATTAGCTCAGAAGTGCGCTTTAAGAACCTCCTGCCAAACACACAGACACATACACTCTTCCTAAATACCGGTCCAAGTGTAACGGTATCAAGATTACATCTTTATAGGCCACTCACATCTCTGGAGTCTTGGATTTGTTTTTCCCATTGAAAAACTCTGGAAGAGCACGCCGTTCAATCACGTGAATACTGAAAAGGAAAGAAAGAGGATTTGAAGAACTCTTTGAAAAATAAAAATCTTAAAATTTGACCTAAGTTTATTCCATTTTCAATGTAAAACTGAGAAATCTAAAAACTGAGCATTACTTGCAAAAATTAATTGGGTTGCACAAGTTCCTATGTAGTAATAGCATATAATAAAATTTAAAAACTTCCCTTTCTCACCCCTAATACTTACTGTTGTTTTTCTATTCCTATAACCCAATTCAAAAAATGCTGTCAACATATTGAAAGCTACAGATTTCATTATGCTGTTGCCATAATACATCATGACTAGATGATGAGCTACAAGACATAAAGGGTTCTTTGGAAATTGGCTACCAAAAGTTACAGTAGTTGGCATGGCAACAAACAGGTAAAATGAATGACGGGCCAGAAGACAATGGAATTTGTAATGAATTTCTCGGGCTCTTCACATCACTGCACTTTTTGACCAGTCCTCAGAAACTCTGTGGTGAATTGAAATATTTCTGCAATTTACTGCTTTTTAACGAAATCACAGACCTAATTTTAACATTTAGGTGAAGGCAATGACAATTTCATACAATGTTATGGGTGATGGCGTAGAGACCACTTAAAATCCTCATGCCCACCGCATCGTACAAAAACCAACCGTGTGCCCAGCACAAACGCCTGAACACTAACACTAATCCGTGTGTTTCTCATGACACATCTTAGTTTCCAGTTGCTTTCCAGATATGCAACATGTACTAATCACACAGAAAGAGCAAATCAACAGTCTGGGACTGTAAGTAGAAGCATTTATGCTTTCATCATTTGGAATCATTTTAACTGTCTGAACTAGACTTAGAGTGCTTAATACCATAAATGCCAATAAATTACCAGCAAAATTAAAAAGATTAATTTCTAAGAGGAATGTCATCTATACACATGTGGGCACGCGCACACACACCGTGGCTTTCCAAGTTTTACTATAAAAGGAACTGCTACAAGCAACTAATTATATAGTTTTATATACCTCTCACTGTTTTACCTGTTACAGGTTTCAAAGAGCCCACAAAAAACAACTTCACCAAGAACAAAACAGACCAGAATGTCTCATGCCAAGCACTTTCTTTTTGAAATCTACATTTGAAGTACGGGCAGCTGAATCTGTAGGTTCTGAGGAAGAGCCGTGAGTGGAAGGAGCGGGGTGTTCAGAATCAGAAAGCCCGAGTTCTTCTACTAGCTCTGCCACTGGGCGACACTTCAGCCGATGCAGCAGGTCTTGCATCCACCACATAGGGCCGTGGCTGACACAGCCACTAGCCACCTAAGAGCGTGCTCTGTGACCCACAATGGTTATCGTGCAAAAGGAATTGCTCCTGTACCCTAGGAAATCCTACAAAATTATATACTGTTATGACTTTCCGCTCTTTTTAAATTTTAGAGGAACACTAGTTTCTCAGGTATGTCTTAAGGCATTCTGAATCTTAACATGTAGTTACAAATAATAATGAGACTGAGACACAAGTTTAAAAATAATTTAACACGATAATTGATGTAAAGAAGACCGTTTCAAAGAAGAGCTATATAATTATTCTGTGTTCCAGCTTTACTTGTTCAAAACATTTATGAAAAGCACTGAGAGTTGGTTTTAAATGCATGAGAAAAAGTTTCAATATTATAGCCATGCCTTGTGGTTTTGGACAAAAACAAAATATAGCTCAGTGAACCATCTACCCTATTCTTTTATATTAGCTTCTAAAAGCTTCTAAATTATGTTTGTGTATATGTATGCGTATTTGAAATCACACCTATCCTTAACGAACAATAATGCAATAACCATTGAGAGCAAGCGCAGTATCTGAACAGGACCGCAAGATTCTGAGCGGGGGCAGCCTCACTGAAGTACACAGCCTTCCAAGAAAAGTACCTTAAAAGACGCTAACATCTCTTTGAAGGGCAGTTGTAAATTTTGGTACACATATTTAAAAATAACAAACCAAACAAACAAAAAGAGCCTGATACATCGCAGTCACATCTCATAAATAATCCATAAATCTGCGACTCCAGCTATCTCGACCACGCATGCTGCAGTGACGCCACAGTGGGCGTGGTGACAACAGGAAGGAGGCACAAAAGGTCTGTTCTCTTGAACTTTTTCACATGCCAGGGTTGGAATGTGAAAAGTCTCCAAATGTTAACATATTTCCGTTAAAATGAAGGTATTATTGGACAGTGAACTGAGTCTTCTGTATACATCCCCTTAATGTTTTAAAATCATACAATAAACACCAGTGTTTTATCATTACTAAATATTTAAGCATTTGCCTGTCTGAATAATGACAAAATGTTCCAGATCACAAAAACTGTACACCACCATCTACTTTCCATCTTGAAATTGTCTTGAAGGGCACTTCCCTGAGTTCACATGGAACCATGTTCCCCCTCTCTCCGTCCAGTGTGACAGTGACAGGGAAGTGGGGGCTTGGGAGGACACGGCAGAGTGTGATTTCAAGGAACGCCTGCCCACGCCTAAGGAAGGTGTTCACAGGCATAAGAGGCCCACTTACCAGTTGTAATCAAACCATGAAGCATAGCTGGGGATAATAATATGGTTGGTCTGCTCTGTCACATTATCTTCACCGGGGTCAACGGGTCGGCTCTGATCGCCTTTGCTGGGGTCTTCGTCCTCCTGTAGAAAAGAAGCCAAAGTTCTGAGAAAGAGAACTACAGAGAGAAACACAACAGCTTTCAAACTTCCGATACTACGCCTCAGAAAATGAAGCTGTCTGATCTAACTTCAAGAACCAGGAAAATAAATTTCAACTGAGAACAGTCTTTCACAATTTTTAAGGTTCTTTCACAAGATGTCCAGGTGACAGCAGATTTTATTCTTGCCATTTACAATACGTATCAGGTAAATGTCTCATAGCAAGATTAAACTTTAAGTTAAAGAAAGGCTGTTTCTATACTGAGGAATTCACACTCACAGCCCAAAACTTTGTTCACAATAGCTTGTTTCTTACTTGTCTACTTTTACCTGACTAATACCACAAATCTAAATGACCAGTTCTCAAGTTATTTGTACGGAGCTGACTCAGGGACTCTAACAAGGTGTAACGATAAGGCTTCCCCTATCCCAAAGATTTAACACTAAGTATCTGCTACCAACTATATGGGCATTATTTTACTTACTCCTGACAACAGCAGCAGCAGGTACTATTTATCACCTGCTTTGCAGATGTGAAAATGATGCACAGGACTAAATTAGAATCAAGATAAAACTGCAGGTAGTCCCACCAGAGGGCCCACAGCCTCAATCACTCCCGCTACTAAAAATTACCTCATTTATATCAGAATATAAATTATGGAGGCTTTGCCAAAGATTCCACCGAAAAACCTGGTTTTGCTAATACAGTAATTTCAAAATCACTGCTTCCTCTGGTACCCTACCAGGGAAGATGGATATTTCCTTTCGATAAAACTTTGGGGGTCAAGAAACAAATTATTTTGGGGGTGTGTTAAAAAGAAATGTAAAAATCATAATATTTCTAATAGAATATTTCTAAAGGCACTGCTAATTCAGTATTCCTAGTGTTCAATACCTAGGACCCTTAGAGTTCCTCCGGCCCCAGGCCTGGCTCAATCATTACCTTTCCTCCTGTTGTAACTGCGTCTTCATCCTGTTCATCTGTAAAAACCAAAACACATCATTTACTTAGAAAAGCAGGTAAAGCTGTTTGGATTACTTGGAAACGTTAAGATTCAGGTAACTGACAATAGAGAAAAGAAAATGGGACATTAAAATGAATTCACGTAGAATAATTCAGTAAATTAGAATTTGTACACAGAAGCACAGAGGCGAGTAGAAATTCAAAGCATAAATAAAAATTTCCAACAATTGGGAATTTATAATTAATTACTGCTTGGGCTACTATCTTAGTCATGATCTTGCTTAATAATAGGTAAAAGGCTTGATTATGGCTCTTGCCTCCTGAGGTTTGGTGAAATGAGTAATGGCATTTTGGATCCCAGAGGAAGCATATAAAAGTGAGGAGTAAAGAAAGAGGTTATAGTCATTCCCCACAGACAAAGTCCTGGTAAGAGTGTTAATACCTTCTGAGAATAGGGGACTCCAGGACCTAAATGCTGGCCTTGCAGAAGAACCGGAGCAAACCCACGTGGAATTTAGAGCAGGCAGCCGGGGGAGGGGGGGGGAGGGTAAAGGGGGGATAAATGGTGATGGAGGGAGACTTCACCTGGGTTGGCGAACACGCGATACAGTGTACATGCAATACAGACGATGTGCTGTGAAACTGTCCACCTGAAATCTGTGGAGTTGTTACCTAGTGCCACTCCCCAAAATTCTAAAAATAAACAAACTAGGCAGATGATTTCCACTGTGGAAAGTGAAAGTGCTGGTGTGATAAGGGTAAGAGATTCTGGCACAAATAATTATATTAAGTTCCAGGAACATTTTAAAAAATTGCTGTGACTGTTGGCAGGGACTAAGGCACCGCAAAGTTCAAAGAGGGCATGGGAAAGTTGTTTTTTAAAAGTGTTCATTTACAAAATTCCAAGAATCTGCTAGTTGAAAAGCCCTAAGCAGGCCGTCTGGACCAGGGGACAGGAGCCTGCAGTGCACAGGCCAGACCTGGCCACCGCCTCCACTGCAGGGGCCCTGGGAGCCCGATTCCCATTCCTGGCCAACGGCCGCTGACGAGGGCGCTTCCCTGAGCCTAGACAGCCCACAGCAGCTCGTGGGGAACTCCTGCTTCACCTCTGCAGCCTGGAATCGTGATGCTTGCTAGGCAGGGGATACCCTACATAACCAGGGCCCCCTAAAAAGCCACTGGTCACAGATCCTCTACTGTGCTTCCCTGGGTGAAAACGGATCGGATGGGCCGCCGCATTTTCGTTGCTGTAGGAAGAGTGCTGTGTATGACCCACCTAAAAATAACTGCACCCTTGCTGTGCCCTGTCCCCTTACGATCTCTTTAGGCTTCCTATGCCGCTGATACATGTGCTATCTTTGAGTGAGCCTGGATGCTGGATTCCGGGACGCCTTCTAGAGAATCTCCAAACCTGGGGATGGCCTCCCAGAGTCCCGTTACACATGCAAGTGACAAACAGTTTTCATTTTAAATGGTTGAAAAGAAAATCATAAAACAATATATAACGACACATAAAAAGGAACTGAAATTCAAATTTCAGTGTTCATAAATAAAAGTGTTATTGAAAGCCATGATCATTTGTTTTATGTATCACCATTTGCATTACAATTGCAAAGGTGATTAGCTGTGAGATACCTCTGCCCACAAAGCCTAAAATGTTTACTACCTGGCTCCTTTCAGAAGTTTGCCAACCCCTTCTTTGGAACAGATGAGCAATACACAGATGAGCAATACACACTTCTACAGTATCAGCAGTCCACTGAGGGTCTTGGAATGCATCCCTCCATGGATGTGAGGGGATTACTCTATTATTGACTTAATCTCACCTTTATATAAACTGTCATCAAACCAACTTTTTTAAGTCTCACTTTCTACATTATGGCAGCTGAAGAATCCATCAAATCAAATATTTAGTATATGCTGAAAACACTAGGTTCTCCCTTGATTTTACAAGAGAAGTAATCAAAATTATTACTCCATATATAGCTCTCAGGAATACAGATGTTTAAAACTATCCCAATCTTTTTATTTTTAAGTTTTTACTTATTTTAAGAGACAGAGAGGAAAGGCGAGAGAGAGAGAGGGTGAGAGAGAGAGAAAGAGAGAGAGGAACATCAATTTTTATTGTTTCACTCATTTATGCATTCACTGGTTGATTCTTGCGTGTGCCCTGACCGAGAGTCAGACCTGCGACTTTAGTGCATCAGCACGATGCTCCAACCAACTGAGCTACCTGGCCAGGGCCTAAAACTAACTGAATTTTTAAAAACTGGAACAAGTGACTACACTCCTCTCTTCTTCCCTCCGAGCACATCCAAAAATTATACCTTACTTTTTGTATAATTTTTACAAATAAGGTATAATTTTACCTTACAAAAAGTACCTTCCTTACTTGTGAAAATGTACACTATAACTTGAAAATACTAGAAAAATATGGGATTCTCATTTTAAACTGTTTAGAAAACTTAGGGTTGGTTTTAAAGTATTAACAATCAACAGATTTTGTTCTAAAGATGCAAATTCAATTTGCACATGTAAAACAAGCGTCTCGGAGAGGTTATAAAAAGTGCTTTAACTACAACAGTGTCTTTAAAACTCAGAAATTCTGATTTAGGTATAACAGCACCACCTTTGCTAATTTGCAGTAACAGAGCACACTGTGAGAGAAGGGCTGATCACCAAAAAGAACGGAAGGCAGGAAATCAGATTTCCTAATATGCTAGCAAACCAAACCACAACGGTACAAAAGGCAGCTGCAGGTAGTGTCTGCTGGAAAGCACAGCCTCTGAAAGCAACACCTCTCAATAAAGACAAAGACAGTAGAGGAGCTGATATAGTAAGACAGAAAACAACACAGAAGGTACAGATTTTTTGGTTTTTACCTAGATCGGCTACAGTTCCTCCTTTAACAGGTGTATTTTCACTATCTTTCTTTGGATTTACTAGAAGAAAAAAAAGAATGATGTTTTAAGGGGAAAGTTCTACTTGTTTTAAGAGGAAACAGAATATGATTTAAAAATTCATGAATCTCGCTGCAGATGCTCCATCGCTCAGTCCTCACCTTCATGTAAAAACCACAATCCCTGCGGAAAAGCAACCCACTCAATGTGACTGATGTGCTACAACTGTAATTAATTACCAAAGCACCAAAACTTTTTCATCATAAAAGTAAAGAATATAGAGCAAAACATAAAAAGAACGTTTAATCGCTTTCCTAAAAGTATGTTATTAGTTTTTTTTGTGCATTTGTTGATTCCCATTTTTGGGCCATTCATCCAGACAGATAAACTGAGGGAAAACTGGTACCTTTTATACAATCTATGTGACTTTGAAACATATGCTGAGGACTTAAAAGTCTTATATAAACATTATTCATTCTGTCCTTAGCTCTGTACTTTTCTCATGTGACAGTATGCCTGTGTGGTATCTCCATGTAAAAATTTTTAGTTACATCACTTTCACTTTTAACAGATCCAGTGTCTGTGTGTAGATTATAAAGTAATTAGCCCTATACTGACTGAAACTATTCTACAGGGAACATTTTTTACAGTTATCATATACATGTACATAATTATTTAAGATGGACTCTGAAATTAAACTGCTACACATTTCAAAATGTAACAGATACACCCAAATTTTATTAAGCGACTTCACCAATTTACACTTCCACCAATAATATTCGGGAGTTCCTACTTTCTCAAAACACTTGTATTTTAAGAATCATCTATTTTCTAAGTTTTGAAAATTTGATGAATGAAAAGTTACTTCAATAACTTACCTATCCCTGGATAAATGAGGTTAAGAATCTTTTCGCACATTTATTGGCCCTCTATTTTTAATAAAATTACCAGCACACAACACTTTGCCCTTTACTCTTTGGGGTTTTAAGACTCTTTATACATATTTAGGGTTCTAATTCCTTGCTTAATGGGTAATGAATATCTTCTCCAAGGCTACAGTTGCTTAAAGCACATTAGTGTTTGAAAAAAGTTACTATTATACTTTTCTTTGGATTTTTTTTATACTTAGTACTTTAATCTACCCCAAGTTTAAATTCTATATATGATACAAAAAATATTAAATTTTACCAAAAGTGTTTATGAAACAATTTGATCTTTTGCAAAATGACTTGCATCACCAAATTCACAATAAATGAAACTCATTATCATATGTATACATGGGTCTATATTTAAATTGGCCATTCTATCCCACTGATGGGTTCAGCCATTTCTGTGTCCAAACCATACTATATAAATTATTAGCTTTACAGATTAGGTATCTGTTAGGACTACCAATACCTTCACAGCTCTTTTATTTCAAATAAAAATTTTTATTATTTTTATAAATAGTCTCTTCCATATGACCTTTAAAGAACATCTGTATGGTCTATAGTGCCCAATTGTATACAATGCAATAATTTCTAGAAATGCTTATAACATATTATAGATGACTATATTTTTCATTACAAAAGACAGGAGGAAGCATAAATTATTTTATGGTAAATTTCATACATTTTTATCTCAACTAGATAGTAGTGACTCTAAATACAGTTCAAAAATTAAGGATGTATCTCGTAATACCTACAACCACCACTATGAGAAAATTAGCTACAAAAACAAATAGGGAATAAGAAAATCCAGAGACAGAAAGTAGAGCGGTGGTTTCAGGGTACGGGGTGGGGGTAGGGTGGGTATTTTGGATCTCAGCAGGCGCTGGGGTTCTTTCCAAGGGAATGTAAATGTGCTGGAATTAAAAGAGCAGTAATAGCTGTACAACATAATAAATATACTAAAAAACACTGACAAATACACTTTTTAAATGGTGATTTTTACCCTGTATAAGGTACGTATTAATTAAAACTGTGATATATATTTTAAAAAAAAACCTGTAAGTTTTACTAGAAAACAAAACAGTGGAACTAAAATAGAAAATTAAAACTAGTGGATTAAAACAAAAGAAGTGAAGAAATAAGAGAGGAACAACAACAAAAAAAATAGCATGATCATAGACTTAAACCCAACCACACTAGTAATTATGCTGCATTTGAGTGGATTACACAGTCCAACTGAAAACAGAAAATGTCTAAACTGGGTGGGAAAACAAGCCTCAGTAATGTGCTATTTAAAAGAAAAATGCTATGAACAAACAGGTTGAAAGCAAAAGAATGCAAAAGGGATGTAAGTTGAAAACATAAAGCACAAGGAAAAAGGAAGGGCAATATAAGGCTGTTGCATGAAGTCCTCAGTACAACTGAGGACTAATAAAAAAAAATACAATGTAGAAGTAAAAAACCAAAGATGTGGCTAGATGATGCCTCATTATCAAAGAGCTCAGACTTCAAGATCAGCACTTCTATGGCACACAGAGCCATGACACCAGAGAGTCACACCACTGGGAGAACATGATGATCCTAAATGCACGTGCCCTTAATTAGCAGAGCTTTAAAGCAAAAAAAAAAAAAAAAAAAAAAAAAAAAAAGAGAGAGAGAGAGAGAGAAAAGAAAACATACAAACAAAAACCAGGAGTAAAAGTAAAATTTGACAAATCAACAATCCCAATTAAAAGGGTATAACATCCTCTTTCCAATAACTGATTTAAGCACATTAAATTGTACATAGATAAGCACTCCACTTTTTCTTACACAGAATCATATGCTGATTCTGTTGGAATTTTAAAAACATGAATTTTAAGGCATTACTACATTTAGAGAACATTTTGGTCACAGTGCACATTCTCAATAAACAAATACCAAAAGTATACCAAGAGATGGGGAAAGAGGAATTTCATAAATATCAACATTAAGAAGGGGAATCTATTCATAAAGTGGAGAAGCAGGGGCGCAGAGCGAGAACTCAACCACCACATGGCACAGCAGGAAATGATGCGATCACGTCGACACTCTGAATCTGGGCAGAAGAATACAAACCGTTTTTTGGAAGTACCACTTCCTCTATGTTGGGTACTGGTGTTGGGTCTTCCATATCCTTGGTAAGATCTTCTTGCTCATCTTCCTCTTTCTGACTTCTGCGCTTCCCATAAAGACTAGCTTGCCTAAAGCATACAAAAATATATGGAAAAAAACCAAGAGTATTACAATTGCTTATAGCAAACAATTTCAGAGGCTTTGCCTTCCTTGTTCTCAGAATTGATGTTCAGAATCACTTTAAAAGACAAATAAAATTAAAAAATTAGATATACTCCCCAAATCACAGCCAAAAGGAAAATAAAAGTCCCCCCCCCCCACAATCACAGCCAAAATAAAAGTTATTAGGCGTAAGAAACGAACACTGCAATCCAACTACACAAACTGCAGACCATACCCTAAGAGAGGCTTAAATTACTGTTAACAAGAGAACATCTGCAAAGGAAATATGGCATGTATTTTTCTCAGATTATAAACAATCACTTACATAAAAAATCTTGTCAAAGACATGAAAATTATTTTTTTGGCTCTTTGAATCATTCAAATACCAAGGAGTGCAAAGCAGAATCACTTAGGATGATACTAATTTGGTACTAATTCTTTTTGTAAAAATTGCCGTTGCTCTTTCACCAATTCAATCAAACTGATACTCATTTTTAAAACTAATACATGCCAGAATGCATGTTCAAGTTCAAACAAGAATGGCCTGATCATTGGTTGAGTGTCATTCTGCAAAGCGAAAGGTCACCAGCTTGATTCCTGGTCAGGGCACCTGCCGGGGTTGTAAGTTCTGGTTCCTGGTTGGGGTGTGTGCAAGAGGCAATGCAATGCGAGAGGCAACCAAGTGATGTTTCTCTCTCATGAATGCTTCTCTCCCTCTCTTTCTCCCTCCTTTCCCCTCTCTCTAAAAATAAAAAAAGAAAGTTCAAGCAAGAATGGAATGATTTCTTACCTTGAGGAATTACAAGGGATACAGGACAGAAATCATTACCTAATTCATTTACTGTGATGCATACCAATATGAAGAAATGAATAAGAGTATCAAGAAAATAAAGCTCAGAGTAACAGTCCAAGATTGAAGCTGACAGTTAAGCTGAACCTTGGGAACTGTAACAAGTCATAAAGGAGGAGGCAATGGTTCGGAATGATACGTAAAGGCACAGAGACATAAGGAAAAAGTACCTCGTACTGGCAGGGAGTGGGCAGAGACCTACGGTACACTGACAACTGGGAGGGGCAATGGAGAAGCATGTGAGGGGCCAGCCCACGTCCTCACCCTGCTGAGGGAACACTCCAAATTCTCTTCTAAGAGGGGCGACATGTTGGCAGACGTATGACTGAGGTATACATGTTAAAATTTTCAAATAAAGATTACATGACAATTTTTTAAAGGCCTAGGAACCTAAAGGTGGTGGGGAGATAAAATATGGAAGAAAAGATGCAGGGAAGGTGAATAAAACCAATATTTGGAAAAGAGATTTCAATGTGTTTTGGTCAAACACAGAACCCCTAAGGGAAAACTTAAAATGAGCAAATGCCTTCTCATTAGATGGCAGATAGAGGCCTTGGCCAGGTCGCCCAGTCAGTTAGAGCATCGTCCCAATATGCGGAGGTTGTGGGTTCAATCCAGTCAGGGCACACATAAGATTCAACCAAAGAATGAATAAGTAGAACAACAATCTCTCTCTCTAATCAATTAAAAATAAAAAGGCAGATACAGTCAACTAAAGGAGAAGAATCATTTATTTTGGGAAATGCAGTTTGGTGGGTTTTACACTCAAGAGTAGAGGCTCCGTGCCACCACCGTGAGCCCCTCAATGCTGCATCTCAGTTTAGCGACCACTAGCATCCTGGCCCCACACCTTAGTCCTCGAGTGGGAAGAGGGGCACACCCAATTTCAAACGGACTTTGCAAGGGCCTCAGGTTGCTCTGCAATTTCTGAACATCTTGATTCAGATTCGAAATTTAAGAAATAACGTTACCTCCAATAGTAACTGAAGAAAAAAAATCTGCTTTTATGGTTTTAATTTTTATGTCACAATACATACCTGGCTCATTAACATTATTTATAAATTTTATTAAAAATACTTTGAGCCAGACAACCCTGAGATTATTAAGTACTCTCTACTATTTATTAAGTACCTACATCAGGCCAGGCATACTTCAGACCAAGAACTTAAGTCACAGATTCATGTCCTGTATGAGCCATTTTGATCACAAATAGGACAGGTGATAAAATCAAAGAAACACTGATGCTAACAATGGCAAATCTTTTAAAAAATTTTTTTATTTATTGAGAAACAGCAACTTGTTGTTCCAAATATTTCTGCATTCACTGGTTGATTTTTATATGTACCCTGAGTGGGGATCAAACCTGCAACCTTGGTGTATCAGGAGGATGCTCTAACCAACAAAGCTACCAGGCCATAGCCCGGTGAATGTAATTTCTTAAATTCCTTACCAACCATGCTTCTCAATATATACTCAGATGAAGGGGGGCGGCGCAAGACTGTATTCAGGGCACCTTTGTATAAATACGGCATGAGATGTCCGTCAGGTAACCACCTCTAACAAGATGAGTGTTCAAAGCAGACTTCCAACCAAGTAAAGACAGACCTCCTTTCAGCAAAACTTCCACTGTACAGGCAAAACTCTAGCAAGGCCTTGGACCTGATTTGCGCGCACTCTGAATCCTGCTGCAGTACTCACCCTTTCTTCCCACTCTTCTTCCGTGACTCCGTGGGTGTGGGAGGCGGAGGGGATGGAGAATGCTTCCTCTTTCGAGCATTAGCTGATGCTTTTCTGTCTCTTCTCTCTGGACTTCTGACTGGCTAGGAAGAAGTAAATGGAAATAAATATCAGCCAGCTTTGCTCACACCTGTTTCTGCAAACCCTTGCCCCCAGGTGAATTCTCACAAAGATGGTAACAAACGCACAAGCTCAGAGAAAATGCAAGGCCAATCATTAAGCGCCCTGGGCCGCCAGCAGTTAAGAGACTTCCCCTGCCCTTTCAGGTGCTGCATCACCAACAGAACCGTCAGCACTATCCTCGGGCATTCAAACTATGCTACAAAACAGACACACCCAATTCCCCACAACTAACAATGACCCCCGTTCACATTCTGCTCTTCTAGGTGGGAAAACCATGTCCAGCAACTACTAGAAAAATAGAGGGCATTCCAGGGAGCGATAAATCACAAATTACTGTATGGCACAGTGTGGACTCCTGTGACCGGTCAGTGCATGAAGAGGCAGAAGGGAGGGGAGGACTTACGTTCCTTGGACTAGCACTCTCTCTTTTTTTTTCTTTTTTTGTATGAATAAAAAGAAAAGCCCAAAGTGGGGAACTGGGAAAACCGTGTGGGCTGGCCCAGAGCTCTAACACAGGCTCTGTATCGAATAATTGCTTGTATGACTTGGGCTCACCACGGCCCCCCTGAACCTCAATTTCCTCATCTGTCAGAAGGGGATATCAGACAAGAGCTCCTCCAAGATCCCATCCATGGGTGACCTTGACAATGGAGGCTCGGGGCCGCTCTTCAGCTCTGTGGGTCTTAGTTTGCCCATCAGCTAAGCAGAGTAACAATAGATCACCCAAGAGAAGGGCGCCCAGGGAACCCAGGTTTGGAGGTGCATGTGAAGAACCGTTCAGGTGTCTGGAGAGCCCTGCATGCAGAGGGGCCTGGAAGTGGAGCAAAGTGAAAGCCAAGAGAAGCCTCTGGAGTCAGGAGGGTGAGGCAGGGGGATAAACGTTCAGGTTTGCCTTATAGTTTTTATGAAAGCTCACTTCATAATGAATTACAAGAATCACACAGAAAAGTGATGACAAACTCTTTTTGCAGTAAAAAAAAACAAAACAAAAAACAACCAAAACAGCCTTTGGGGCAAAAGAGCACTTTAAAAGAGAAAATATGAAACATGTTATAAAATTAACAAAATAAAAATAGGCTGTGAAAATACACCAGAAACTACTTCTAATTCACCAGTAAAAGTAAAATAAGAGAGAACTTTGATATAAAAGATGTAAAATAAGATTGCCATTTATGATTTAAAAGTTAACCCATACAAGTAGAACTATCACTACTTGCAAATGACATTACATTACCCTAAGGAGCCACAAAACAACTATCAGGGCTAATAAATGGGTTCCTCAGAGTTGCAGGATACATATTAACATACGAAAGTCAACCTGTAGATGGAAACGACCAATATAATAAAATAGACCATTAAAAAAAACCTAAACTAAAATGATCCGAAGTATCACATCTGAGATGTCCCCACCCCCCCCCCTAAAAAAATCAGAGAATAAAATATCAACTAAACATTAATGTTCTCTGGTTTACTCACTCCTTTTACAACTATTTGTTTCCTTTCAGCAGCTCTAGAACATCAAATGGGAATGCCAGAGCATTTTATGAGCCTATAAGTTTTGAAGAAAATCTAAATTACACACACTTTTGATTAGTACAGTAAATCTAAAGTTAAATCAATTTTTATATAATTCCCCTAAAAATAAGTGAATAAACAAATCAGCCCTGCCTGGTGTGGCTCAATGGATTGAGCGCTGGCCTGAGAACCAAAGGGTCTCTGGTTCAGTTCCCAGTCAGCGCACACGCCTGGGTTGTGGGCCAGGCCTCCAGTGGGGCCCTCAAGAGGTAACCACACATTCATGTTTCTCTCCTTTTCTCCTTCCCTTCTCCTCTCTCTAAAAATAAGTAAAATTTTAAAAAATAATAAATCACCTAAATCTGAACAGAGGTGGATAGGGATAGACAAGTTTAATAATGCGATGTGAAAACTAGAATATTCCTGATGACACAAGTTTTGGTTTGAAATGTATTAAAGGAATAAAAATATATAAGCATATCAAAGGGGGAAAGCTGAAAAAAAAAAAGTTTCAAAGTGAAATTCCAAACGAGTAGAAACAAACTAAAAATGAGAAAAAAAAATGAAAAAGACCCAGTTTTAAAATATTCTTCTTAAAAAAATAAAGAATATACATAGTGCAACAACGGAGTTTAGTAAGAAAGACACAGGGTAAAATAAGCGTGAAAGAGCTACACTTTCTAAGTTAATGGTTAGGGTTAGGGTGGACCCATCCTGCCCTGGCCAGCATGGCAGGGCACACGCCCAGGCTGCGGGCCTGGTCCCAGGCTGGGGCACGCGGGAGGGGCAGCTAATTGGTGCTTCTCTCTCATGTGGATACCTCTCTGCCTTTGTCCCTCCCTTCCCCTCTGTCTAAAATTTTTAAGAAGTCTTTTTTAAAAGTATATCTATCTCAAAGATTTTTTAAAAAACTAAACTACAAATCAAAACCCCAAATCGTGAATGTCCCCACTGAAAAGGACTGTAGCGTTACATGTCTCGAAGGCATCACAAAGGAAACACAAACGCATCTAAGCCCCCTTTCCTCAGCCTCAGGTCCTTCTCAAGTGACACATCTACCTCACACGTTGAGACTTGTAAGGAATCTCAGATAAAGATGTAAGCGGTTGGGCTTCTTACGGCATTAGTGTGTTAAATATCAAGTCCTTCCACCTCAAAAAAGGACTGAACTCTAACTCTGGGTCCTCTAAGGTCTATACTTTGTACTACCTACCAGATGTGTAATTGACAAAGCTATTAAAACATTAAAATTAAATGAGTTTTCCCTTGGAAAACCAACAACTAAGATAAATTATCCTGTGACGATACTTGGTATGCCAAAGTTAACTCCGATCTAGAGAACATAACCGACTGTACCGCTGTCATACTGCACAGGCCACTTCAAATCTTAGTGACCGGAAATTTTCATGCCTCTTTCTTGGGGATGCCAGCTCCTGGGATGGCTGTCATGGCTACTTAGCGACTTTCATGTGTACTTGATGGCTGATGCATCTGCGTTTGTATGTGACAGTTTATCAATGAATATTTGAGAACATTCAGGCCAAGAAAGAAGAAACACCTAGTGGAGAAACATGGTGCCAAACCAAATACCTCTTCATTCTTCGTTGAAACTCGCTGTCGAAAACTCACGGGCTTCCTGTTCTCATCCACCTCATAGTCCTCCTCGTTCATCCATTCATTGAAAACATCAGTGTCCAAAACCCATTTTGCATGAACCTAAAACCACATGAAGCATGCATATCCACATAAATAATAAGATCACTTGAAAGTATTAAAAAGGAAAGGGCATTAGAAGTATTTAAAAGAGAAGAAACTGATGCATTATTCTAAAATCCTCAACTGCAAATACAAATTTAAAACACAAGACAGACAATGACATGTGAGGGACCACTTAGCCATGTCCTACCATTTGACTCCATGTCTGTTACCAAATAAACAAGAGTAACAAGGCATCACTGGCTTTGTGTACACTGAGGTTTTGATAACTAAGAGATTTCATTTGATAATCACATCATCTTTTTTTCATTTCAGTTTTATTGAGGTAATAAAACAGTAAGATATTTAAGGTGTACCTTGTGGTAATGATATACGTATATATTGTGAATTGTGAAAAGATATCCCTCAGCTAGTTAATGATCTGTCACCTCACAAATATTGACCTTTTCCTGCGTGTGTGGGAACATTTATGTTCTACTCTCCCCAAATTTCAATTACACAGTGCGGAACTGCCAGCAGCAGTCACCGCGTTTCACACCAGTCTCAGACCTCACTCGCTGTGTAGTCCGTACCTTTTACCAACCCCTCCCTTTCCCTCTGGCCTCTGGCAACTGCTTTTCTGTTGTTTCTAGCAGTCTGACTTCTTTTTTTTCCTTCCTGTTAAGATTCCACATATGTTATTCCATGTAGTATTTGTCTTTGGTTTATTTCACTCATCACTAATCATTTGTTGTTTCAATAAAAACAACAGCACAGAGCCAGACACTCAGCAGCACTCGAAGTAGTGACGGGGACATTGACCGAGCCCTTTGAGGCACGGGCAAGGTTGCGGCAGGGGGACAGGAGGGCCAGGGCAGGTCTCCTCGCAGTCCTTGGCACCGCCACTCCTTTTGCTTCTGGTTAATCTTTCTGAGTAAGAACTAATAAAATGAAAAGGTTCTCTGGATGTGGTGTAGATACAGATACACATAAATATTTACATTACAGACCCAGCCTAATATTCCTTTTCATTCAACAGTGTTTTTCTCTAGGGTAAGACAACTGGAATTGGGACTAGACAAACCCTCCTTGGGTGGGACTGCTATTCACATCTGAAGTCATGGGCGGTGTGCGTGTTGCAATTACATGCCTGATTAAGAACCATTAAAATAGTATTACGAGAGCAAAGAGAGCAGCATCTACACCTACGAAGCCCAACAAGACACAACATGGCAACCATTAGGAGATCGTATGGACTTCCTAATAAAAATCCTCACGAAGTGAAACATGAAAATTCAAACTAAACAGAGATTACACTTCTCACACATCAGGACTGGCACAAATTCCAAAGCCTGACATAACATGCGGTCACTGAGGCTCTGAAGGAAGCAGCACTCTCCCTTCAGTACCAGCAATGCAAAACAGTGGAAATTCCTACAGGAGAGGCACATTCCAACAAAGCACACATCTTCACTTACGCTTCAACCCAGCAACCCTACTTCTAAAAATTTACTGTGACAATGCACCTCAAGCAGTATGAAAATACATATCGCAGGTTATTTATTGTAGCTTTCCTTGTCCCTTTCTTTCCCCAATAATGCAAATTACTAGCATTTCCAAGCATAAGCACCTGGTGTAACCACAGCTTCTACACACAGTAATGAAGCACTGTGTAGTTATAAATACCAAGGATTTCCAGAAAAGACTATTAGTGAAAAAAGAAAAGTTTACAATAGGGAAATAAAAAGGACATGCCAATACCTACACATCTTGACAAAAAGAAACACAGGAAGGATAAACCAGAAAACAGTAAGTTTGGTTTGCAAGGAATTGTGGGAACAGAAGGAATACATGACAAAATACACATTTTTTGGAAGCATGTCAGAATCCCACTCATATATATGTGTGTATGTGTGTATATATGCAAAGATTATAAATGATAAATCAAAAAGGGAATAAAATGTTAACTACAGGCAAATATGGAAAAAGGTATGCCATGTACTATTCCTATAACTGTCCTGTAAGTATGAAATTATTCCAAATAAAATCTTTTTTAAAAAGCAGACTAGGCCCTGGCCAGGTAGCTCAGTTGGTTAGCGCATTGTCCCAATACGCCAAGTCCATAGGCTGGATCTCCTGTCAGGGCACGTACAAGAAGCAACCGGTGAATGCACAGATAAGTTGACCAACAAACTGATGTTTCTCTTTCCCTTCCTCTCTCTATCAATGTTAAAAGAAAAAGAGAGAGACTAATGTTTGTTAATCCCATTTTCCTCCTATGAAATGTAAAGCTCAAATGCTAAGTCTTTCTGGGGGTCACACCATTGCAAATAGGTTGAACCCGATCCAGCGCGCTCTGCTGAGATGCTGATTCTAGGGCCGGGATATGAAAACAACCAAGAGTCTGGAGCACCTTGTTGTCCCAGAAAGTTGGAAGTATGCAAACGCAGATCAGATATTGCCAAAAGGTCACACAAAGCAGCTTAAAGTTCCCACTGACCAAGCTTCAGACAATGCATCAAAATGAAGACTAGTCTCTGCTCCAAAACACACAGTGACCTATAGACACACGTGAAAGGAAGGGACAGCTCTTCGCCACGCAAAATGCCAGCTACTGGCACAGACAGGATGGACAAGCAGGTAGAAAGGCACCAGCAATAACTAATTCAGCCAGGCAGGGATTACTCACGGATGAGCCAACTTCGGGACACAAATTCAATGAAAAATATTTATATACTCTCCAACTACGTCTCTATAAAATATTTTTCTTCCAATGAGAAAAATGGTAGTTACTGTAAGAAAACCAGACATAATACCTTAACAATCAAACTGACTGCCAACGATATGGGAAAAATGGACAGCATGTCCTTCCTGTACAGAGAGGGACACAATATTACTTACGTAGCATTATAGCAAAAAATGTATGGCATTAATATAACAGGAAGAAATACCACAAACTCGAATTCAGAGACGTTCTAAAACAAAACAAAACAAAGCAAAACAAAACACAACGCTGGCTTATCCACTTGAAAAGCGCCACCATGGTCATGGGACGGAAAAAGCGAGCTGGGAAGCCCCAGGCTACGGCAGACTGAGGAGCCCTGCCAACTCAACGCAGTGGGCGACCCTGAACTGAGTCTTGGATCGGGAAAAAACTTAGTATAAAACTTACTGTATCACTGGGACAAAAAGTGAAAATGGAGTACGGGCCCTGCATCAGGTAATAATATTGTTTTAAGAATTTTCTGAAATAATTAACAAAAGGGCAATCTGGAAGTATCAAGTAGTACACTTTTGGTATTATTCTTACACTTTCAAAATTACTTCCACATCAGAAGTTGAAAAATATGACTCGATGCATGGGCTCTTAACATTACAACAGAAATGGTGAGTAACGTAAGCCTGCACTGCACCGAGAGCTGCGCAGGCACTGCCACCAGCCTTCCTGAAGGGCTCCACCAGAGAGCTTCGCCTCCATCCCGCCCCTGCCCCGCCGTCTCAAACCACACCCCAGCCCAGCTCTGGGGCCCCTCACACATCACGCAGACCCGTTCTCTAAGGCCTACATAACGAGGCCTGAATGGCCATCAGACATCTGTTAATAGGATGGCAATAAGGAAGGCCATCATTTTGTATCTCCTTACAATAACCTTGTGGAGAACCGCTGAAAAAAGCTATTACATTATGTGAAGAGTAATTTTTTTTTTTTAAAGCATTTTTCACCTTCCATGGCTTTTCTGGAATTGGTGGATCTTCAATTTCCGCATCAACATCATTACTATGGACCCACGTATCATAGCTATAAAGGAAAAGAAAAAAGGAAAAATCAATTAGATCCCAAATTCATTCACTAAAAAGACCAATCAAAATGTCAAAATGGCCCTGGCTGGTGTGGCTCAATGGACTGAGCGCCAGCCTGCAAACCAAAGGGTCGCTGGTTCGATTCCCAGTGAGGGCACATGCTTGGGTTGCAGGCCAGGTCCCCAGCAAGGGATGTGCAAAATGCAACCACACATTGATGTTTCTCTCCCTCTCTTTCTCCCTCCCCTTCTCTCTCTAAAAAGAAATAAAATATTTTTTTAAAAAGTAAAAATGTATTTGAGAGAGACTATCAGGATCCAGCAAGAGCAACTTTTGTCTCACACACATTTGTCTCCACCACTCTGACAAGAGCAGTCTCCTGTAGAGGCCGACAGCAATCCTCACTCCGCTGAACCGGAAGTTCAAGCCTGTGCACAGGATTTTAACCCTGATCACTCTCTCAAAGCGTTTCCCTCACTTGGCCTCCAAAATAGTGCTATCGAACTGGTATTCCTTCAGTCACCATTCTCTCCTCAGTCTCTACTTCCAGTTTCTTCTCTTCTCCCAAACCTCCTCAACGCTGGAAGACCCCTGGTTTTAGTTTTGGGACAACCATCTCCTTAGCTAATTGTTCACTTGGCGATCTCCTGCAGCCCCATGGCTTCCAATAGGTACCGATCACTTACCATCTCGTATCTGCCCTCTTCTCTGAATTCTGGACTCATGAATCCAACTGTCTAATTCACATCTCATCTTATGAGACTCATAAGGCTTTCAAATCTAACATACTCAAAACTTAACATATACAGTAATGCTATCCTGACCCCCAACAATGTGCTCTAGCCCAGCGCTCCCTAACCATTCTGGCACGAGGGACTGGTTTCGTGGAAGACAGTTTTTCCACAGATGGGGGTTGGGGGCCGGGAGGCGGAGCTCAGGTAGTAGTGGGAGCTGAGCCTGGCTCATCCGCCTGCCACTCACCCCCCTGCTGTGTGGCCTGGTTCCTAATAGGCCACAGACCGTTACCGTCCATGGCCCAGGGGTTGGGGACCCCTGCTCTAGCCAATCACCTCCACCTCAGTAAGTGCCAACTCCGTCTTTCCAGTTGTTCCAGCCAAAATCCAGGATGGTATCTTGACTTCCTTCTCGCTCACATCCTATAACCAAACCATCCACATCTTCTACCAGCCCCACCTTCAAAATGTGTCCAGAATCTATCTACTGTCATCTTTCTACTTCTGCCCAAAGCCCTGAGTCTATTTTTCACACGGCAACCAAAGTGATCCTTCTGAGAAAACCAAGTCCACGCTGCTCCACCGCTCCACACCCACCTCGGAGGACAAGTCCAGACCCTCACAGTGGTCTGCCAAGGCCTCAGGAGGCCAGCCCTCTCCCCTCGCTCACTGGATCCCAGCCACTGCATGGGCTTCTAGCGGCCCTCCTTGAATGCGCCAGGCAGGGGCCACATTCTGCCCTTTAAACATGCTCCTCACCGCCTAGATATCCACAGAGCTCACTCCCTTGCATCTTCACGTCTCTTAGCTCAAAGGGTCTTGGCAGTGAGGTCCAACTCCCTGATACAGATCTTTCCCTTGTGCCTCCAGGATTTTGAAGTAAGCAAAAAATCACACACCAAATTAAAACTTTGTCAATGCTACTATACTGGCCGACACAGATACCTAAATGAAATACAAGGATGGTAACAAGCACTGGCTTCCTGTGGCCACTACACAGAAGTCAGTTCAAAAGCATGTGGAACAAACAGAGCTCTACAAATCTAGTAATAGCACCCCGGTAAGTTTTCTAGGAACACTTAAGTATGAGCAAGAGGAAAACAGTTCCTCTGCCAATTAATTAACCACATCAGGTAAAGATTACAACGGTAAGAAAAAATTGGTAACCTTATATTCTTTGAAAGTCTTGGGTAGAAAGTGTTACACAGGTCAAAGTGAGGGCACAAACTATAGTTAATAATGTGAACTCAAAAGGTTCCCTGAAGAGACAAGACTTAACCCAGAGATAACATCACATCTTACATGACACATGAAGGTTAGCAAAACAGGCTAACACGTCTTAGGTGTCGTTATAAAATTTATTCCAACCCTTTACTTATGTAGCTTCTCATCATAAATTTGAGCTTCCACCTAAGTATTTTAAAGGGCAAACTGATTTCCTATAATAGTTCCTGTAATACTAAAAGGTTTTAATAGTGCTAAGGACTACCTGAAGCTTCAAGACTACAAATGTTTTATACAAATGACTTTATTTAAATATTATTATTTTAAAAATACACACCCCACCATTCATTTAAAGTATGAATTGTAGTTTAGAAGAGGTTAATTAGCAAGCTGACTTGATTTGATTCTTAATTACCTCACATGTATAAAGACTGCATGTACTTTTAAAATTTTGAACTTATCTGATGACATATTTCTTTCTTAAAAAAATATATCTACATGTAAAATAAAGCTACCCAAATAGATTAACGTGAACCCAGCACGTGACCAGATACCCCGCATGCACCCCGATGAAGGTCACGTATTGGTGTAACAGCCTTGTTCCTTCCCCAACAGGAATGGGTTCTGACCAATGCTAGATCCACTACACCATAGCAAGGCCATAAAATATTCCCACTGTGGTAAACTGCAGGGCAAATAACTTCGTTTCTTAAATAAATACATCGCAGGGCAGGGTAGGGGTAGGAGGAGAACCTCTAAGCTAAAAAGCAAGATTTGTGATTTGGTATCAACAAATCACAAAATGTGGTTGAACTCTAATTCTAACAGCTATCAATCAAATGTATTGCTTATATGACAATACTTATGGGGTATTTGGTATTAAAAAATTTAGTTTTATCTAAAATATCTGACAATGGAATGCTTACCTCTTTTTTCAAAAATGAGTCCCTATCTTTTAGAAATACATATTAAAGTAGTTATTACTGAAATAGTAAAATGGGATTTACTTCCAGCGACACAAGAAGGCCAGAAGCAGACGTGGTCCCGGAGAGAGGATGGTCCAGCACCAACCCCACATGCGGACACGCCGCCCGACAAGACAGCAGTGGACAACGCCTGAGCAGCTCCACTATGGTCTTAGACGGTGCAGCACATGGAAGCTTATCCTTATTCCTACACGCCCTATGCATGCGTAAGACTAAACAAGGGCCGCCATTCCCGCGAACACCCAGTTCCTGTTTTTAATATTCTTTATTTGTGCTTAGACACTGAAACACACATAAGTTATGATATGTAAAAACCACCACTAGAGACATAAACTTCTGCCAAGGAAAACTTCATTGTAGACATACAAGAATCTCATCCCTAGAGTATGGCATGAGTACCTTTTGGAAAAATATGTCATAAAATACCAGCAAGAAAAATTCATTTCTTGAAGGAAACAAATCTAAATTAGCAGTCCAATATCATATGGGAAAAATTTTGACAAATGCAGCAAACGTGTCAGTTTATTAAGCTAAATAAAGCCAAGGGACTTCATGAAGTCTACACCTCAGATAAGAGAATAGCCACTAAAAGACCCAAAAGTGAGAGATCAAGAATGGAAACCAATCAACACAGTGTCACTGCTCATGAGGTGACACAAGGCGCGGGAGCCCTGGCCGCACCGACGCCGCCAGGACTCCAGGCCTCGGACACAGCGGCGTTACCTGTCCGGGTAAAAGCCCCAGTGCACCAGCACCTGCTTGTCTTTCCTCGTCACGGGCCTCAGCCATTCTTCTGAAAGGGAAAAGGAAACACATCAGTCAAGCTGACAAAAAAAATAAACTCTTATTTAGACTTAATTCTTACCCAGAGTTTTTGGCCTTACTAAAAGTTTTCTCTTAATTGAATGTTACCTACCATCTTTTAAGGGGAAGTTTTCAGCCATGTATTCAGACTTAACAGATTCTACGCCTATTACCCGTTCCCCTGACAAAACCACTGTCCAGTGCGGCAAAACACTCCCCTCCCGCCCCCGTCTGTCCCCACTTGCCCCCGCTGCCGTCACTGTGCTGTGCTGCCTCGTTTCCTCTGTGGAGCCCCCACCCCTCTGTCTGTGAGGCATTACAGCCACTACACACCTTTCAAGGTTTAGGTCACGCTTCAACACCTAGATTCAAGTTTTACCAACTCCTCTTCCTCCTTCAGCTTCACTTTCCTGGCATCCAACAGTGCTTTACAGAGCTACATCAAAGCTTTTATTCATAAGACTATTTTTGTTATTCTTTAATGGCCTGTTAATTTAGCCCTCCCAACCAGACTGTAAGCAAGATGATCACAGAAGACAGGTATTTTTATTTCAAGTTTCCTCACGACAGATAGGTACAAACTTATGTAACCAGATGATTCCTAGTGATTTTAATCATAGTTGACACACTACATTTGCTATGATGTATTTCTCTGATAGTCTAAAGTTAGCTTAGAACACTTGTTTTCAATACTAAGGGGGACTTAATGGAGCCCCTCGAAACCCAAGAAATAGCAAAACTTAGTAACTAAGTGAAGGCAGCTAAGTAACACTGACTTTTCACTGACCACTTCACTGACTAAAGTCATGGAGCCCTCGGGCCTGTGCTCCTGGCTGAGCATCCGGCTGCTCACCTTACTCTCTTACGCGGACCGTGAAAAGGGAGAGTCAGGCCCTGTTCCTTCACCTGTATCCCAAAATGGCCACGGGTAAATGAAGTGGGGAGGCCAGGGGGCCTTCCAGAACTCAATCTGCTTAAACAAAACACACTGACTGCCCTCCTCCTAAGAGCTGCCTTTAGGGCACGGAGTCTATCTTCTAAGGTCCTGCAGTTTGAGGAGGTGAAGAAGAGGATGTCCGTCTCTGCAGCTGACGCTGATAGAGACTGAGGCCCTGACTTCCTCTGAAGTGCCTGCAGCAGCAGATACTAACGAGAGGCCAGAGACATGAATTCACACACTTCCCAGAGAGAATCACAGAACCGGTAAAAAAACCCTCACAATTTTGTGAGTCAAAATTAGTCCAAAGTCAAAATTACAGAAGTAACTTTTACAACAATGAAAAGAAGGCAAATAATACAACCAAAAAGTGAGAAAAGGATCTGAACAGGTATTTCTCCAAAGAAGATACACGAATGGCCAAACAACACATGGAAAGATGTTTGGAATAACTAACAACCAGGGAAATGTAAACTAAAACCATAGGATACCGTCTGACACCCACCAGGATGGTTAACAGAAGAAAACCAGACCTCTCAGTGGGTCCGTAAGGGACTGATGCGTTTTGTCTGACGCGGAGCGCCGCTGGAAGGGGCTTGTTTCTGATGCATGGATGGTGACCATGGAGAACAAAAGGGAGCCTGGCAGCTTCCACAGCACCAGCCAACCAGGAGCGCCACGGACAGAGCGGCTCAGGTCACTGCAACCAGGACAAAGCACCCAGATCCCAACTTCTCCCGAAAGAGGGAAAATGAAGAGCAGAACATGTATCCCACGTTCTGGCCTTATGAGTGGCTGCCTAAGGGGCACCCAGTTTGTGTCTCGACTGACTCAGAGTGCTGATGGGAACCAACATCCTTTGGGAGCCTGGGCAATGCAGAAACCAAAAGAGCTCCGTGGCTTGCTACAGCAATGGAGCACTTGCGGCGCAGCAGAAAGACACTAGAGGGCAAGAGACTATAAGCTCCTGAAAAAGAAACCAGCAAAGCTCTGTAACTGGGAAATCACACACATCAGTCCAGAGAAGCTGCATCCCCAGAAGACGTTTGAGGAAAGCCTCGAGTCTCAAACCAGACCACAAAAACTGAGAGTGCGGGCTGATTGTGCAAATGCCCAAAACACATCAGAAAATAAGGTGCACTAAGAGAAAGGGGAAACTGACCCAGGGAAGTAAAATAAACCTCAAATACCAAACTCTAAAAAAACGAAACAAAACCATAAAACAAAGATCTATGGATTACCCAACAAATTCAAAATAATCATTTTAAAGAATCTCAATGTCCTACAAGAGAAAAATAGCTAAAACTAATCAAAATTAGAAAAATCATGCAAGAACATGAGAACACCAACAAAGAGTTAAAAGCTACTAAAAAGAAACCAAACAGAAATTCTGGAATTGAGTAATAACTGAACTGAAAATTTCATTAGAGGGATTCAACATCAGACTAGAACAAGCAGGAGAAAGAATCAGCAGTGTGAAAGGCTGTCATTTGAAATTATCAAGTCAGATGGACAACAACAATAAAGAGCAGATAAGCCTAAAAACTTAAGGCATTTAAATTATTTGAGTAAATAATGATATAGTCTGTTTCCCTCTTCTAATTAATATCTCAATTTTTAAATTTTCATTTATTTTTATCTCTGAGAAAGTACATATTCTTTGTTAAAACCAGAAATTCAACCGATGATCTTAAACCAACCCTTCTATCCCTTCCAGGTTTCAACCCATGTATTATGTGCTTCGATTTACTTCTTCTCTGCCCAGAAATACACTATAAAGGCATCACCTGAAAAACAAAACCCAGGGCAACCTGCTGGAGAGTCCTCCTTCATCTTCCTTTCCTTGCCACACTTTCTGGGAAAATGGTCATCTTCCACCAACTCCAAAACTTGCTCTCTGTCAGAAGTTATCATTTATTTCCTGACAAATCCAAACGCCTGATCTCAGGCCTCACTCTGTAGACCAAGTCCACTGCCCACCTCCTGCACTTTGAAATGCTTTCCTTCCCTCCCCCTAACTTTTAAGACATGCATCATACTGGCTTGCATTTGACTAAGGCCCTTTACTGTACGCATACATGGATTCACCCATCCCATGAGAAGACGTTCACTCTGCAGTGTAATCCAGAGCTTTCCCACGGTCTTGCTCTCTGACCTGTCTCCTCACGGCGCACAGCCTGGACGTCAGCTTGTAGGCAAGTCTGCCCAATAGGGCCTCAGCTGCACATTTCTTTTCACCAAAACGATCAGTACGGTCCTCCTTTGCCTTCATCCACCAAATAAAAACACAGCTCTTCAAACCAGGACTCATGTCTTCCCACCTGCCAACCTTCATCTCCTACTGTCTCAAGGCACAAAGCCCAGCTTTGCCATTTGTTTTTTCTCATTTGGTACTCCTTCTAGGATGCCCTACTCAAATTATTCTTACTAGTATCTTAAGACTGATTAAATGTCACCTTTTATTTTAAACTTTAACTAATTCTCAAAGAAGGTCTAGTGCACGGCCGAGGGTTTACGACAGGAATGTTAATGAGCCATGGCTGGTGCTGTTGGCATCCACACCCTTGCGTGGGGCAGGCCCGTGTGAGGAACCCAGCTCAGGGCGTCACTCAGAGCCAGCATTTACCTGCCAGCCATTTCTGCTAAGGAAAATCCCACGAGGATTTTTATTTAAAAATAACCTTCAATATATTAAAAATTAAATTTAAATGCTTCACCTAATGATTACTCCAACTACTACTGACGATACCAAGCAAACATCAGTAAACTAGATTGTATTAAACAAATACAACCCCACATGAATAAGGAATTTACTAAGTAGCTAAGATGTAACAATTGCAGTTCAATCCTTTTGTAAAGGCAACTGTGTTCACAATCTAAGCATTTGTATCAGCTTTATCAGAGAAACCTTACTAGAGCCGGCCAGCATCAGCGTTCTAACATACAGCTATCCACCACCTCCACCTAGTGGCCTCCAGATGCTACTACCTCACAGCACAAAAACTGAGACACAGTAGACAGGGTGAGGTTTCTCACTTTATGAAAGTATAATAATCACAGAGCTAAAATTCTGACTGTTACAAAATTAATGATGAGAAGATCTAAATGTAACGGCTAAAACTATAAAACTCTTAGGGGAAAAAGTTAGGTGTATAACTCCACAACTCTGGTTAGGCAATGACTTCTACTTAGATCTGACACCAAGCAAACAAGCAAACAAGCAAACACGCAAGCAAGCAAGCAAGCAAGCAACCAAACCAAACCAACCAATCTACCCTCTTATAATTGTTTTTCACATCTGTAGAATTTAGTAATGTCCCCCCTTCCGCTCTTGACCTTATTTGTGTTTTTTTCCTTACTTATTTGCAGCACAATTTATTAGTCTTACATAAATCTTTTCTAAGAACCATTTCTGATACTGCTGAGACCTTGCTATTATATATTTTGTACTTTGTTAATTTTTGCTCTTATTTCCTCTATTCTTTAGCTTTTATTTGATGTTATTTTTCTAATTTCTTGAGAAAGATGTGTGGACTGCTGATTTTTCAGTCTTTCTTCTTCCCTAAAATACACATTTAAAGATAAAAATTTTCCTCTGTCTATAGCATCAGCTGCATCCTAAAAAGTTAATTTTTCTGCCCTGGCTGGTGTGGCTCAGTGGACTGAGTACCAGCCCGCGAACCAAAATGTTGCTGGTTCAATAGCCAGTCAGTGCACATGCCTGGGTTCCAGGCAAGGTCACCAGTTGGGGGCGAGCTTGAGGCAACTGACTGATGTATCTCTCACACATCTGTTTCTGTCTCACACATTGATGTTTCCCTCTCTCGAGAAATAAAATCTTTTTTTAATAAAGTTAATTTTCTTACACTTTATTAATTTCATAATTATTCAGATACAAAGATTTGCCATTTCCACTGTAATTTCTTTTTTTCCATGGATTATATGGCAATACACTTCTTAAAAAAAAAAAACCCCAAAACTCAGCCCAAGGTAATTAGCGAGCAGGAAGAAAAGAGCAGGAGAGGCACTCTGATGCGAGAGAGAAACATCAATTGGTTGCCTCTCATACATGCCCAGACTGGGGTCCAGGCCTGCAACCCTGGCATATGTCACGACCGGAATCGAACTGGCGACCATTCAGTTTGCGGGATGATGCCCAACCACCTGAGCTACACTGGTCAGGGCAAAGCAATGTATTTCTTAATTTTCAAGCACACGGAAATTGTCTGGCAATCTTTGTTATTGATTTCTAGCATATCTGGACGGGTAAGAAAAACTCAGCACAGGGTAATTAGTAGCTTAAATCTCATATAATTTGGCTTCTTATATAAATATTTTATGAGGATATGTTGTGCTTAACAATAGATCTCCCTATAGGAGAACTTCCTCAATCTAAATGAATTAATTTGATTAATAATTCATATTTTGTATCCCAACTTCCCAACCTCTGAAAGAATGAAAGACAGTTGCCATAGGTCTAATGAACTCTGGCTCCTGACCACATCATGTTCAGGACAGCAGGGCTGAAGATCAGAATCTGAGCCATTGTCAATTCACCAAAAAAGCATTTGAGGGCCCGTGTTCAGACTACAGCCAGGAAGTTATCCTGACCAGAGCTGTTCTATCTTGTTTGCAGTATCTCTTAATTTTCAGAACACAAGGAACAGAGCAAATATTAACTAAGTTACTACACAAGGCATGCCTATCCAGATAATTATTACCAACAAAGAAATAAAAGTGTAATGATTAGAAAGTTGGACATCATGAAATAAGTTTACTGAGCCCAATTTAAAAAAAAATCATATATTTAAATAATCTGTGAATTTAATACTTGAAACTCTCTTTCTAAAACAGCTGATTATATTGTTAAAAACATCTGCTGATATAATTTAAAATCCAGTGATGTAAAAGTTTATCAGTTCACAACCAAAAACTAACTTACCATCTTCTTGTGAGGCAGGATATGGATAAATGTGGTGGGAAGCTTTTGACTTCTCATCAGTAAATGTCCCCTGAGAAGCAATAACCAAATAATGTAAAAATAAAGCACACAGCCAACAAACTATAAGATGCCAGATGCAAACTGCCTAAGAATTATAAAGGTATTGTTTTACTTATATTTTTAAAGTTATTTTAAGACTATAGTATTATTATTTTTAGTCAAGGAAAGGGATGGTAACTGGCAAGAACAAACAAAAATAAATTATCTACAGACACAGTTACAATGTTCAATAGAAAAATAATACAAGTATCCTTAGAATTACATAGAGAGAACAAAAATTCTCTCTATGTAATCTTTCTCCGGGTAACCTTATCAGTAATATGAGCATTTCTAATTCTTAAAGTGACTACAAGGTCATTACACATTGTTGTTATTGGTATTTGAAGTGACTCAAGGCAGGTTTATGGCCACAAACACACGTAACCTTGGCCACACATACACAGAACGGACACTGACTTGGTCCTCACATGTGTACAGCATGGGGCAAAAGTAGGTTTACAGTTGTTTGTATGGAAAATAATACAACTAATAAATTATACAATAAACTCTGTGTTTCACATACTGATAACTATAAACCTACTTTTGCCCCGCCTGTGTGTTATTGTTGCTTTAACGTTAGAAAAGTGGGTGATATAAATGCTAAAAAGTCAAGTTTCAGCTAGGCCACAGACAGAACACAGCATGCAGTCTAGCTCTAGAACATGACTTGCAGGCCATTCAAACACGGAAGAGCTCATTCTACAGACCATGAGAATAATGAGAAGTCTTAAAATCAGGTGCAAAGAGCACCTTTACAAGTTTTCTGAATTTTGTTTGACAATGTGTATTTATTATTAAAATCAGAAAAATACAGTAATGCTATTTTCAACTGGAGGAAAATTCTAAAATTTAGGGCAATATACAGATGAATGAGCTGCCGGATCAGGCAAGAAATTCTCAATCACTAGAAGTGCTTGAGCACTCTGCTGCACAGCCACCCGCAAGGCTGAAAAGGGGACACAAACGTCCAATGCCTGCGAGGTGACAGGAGAACACAATGTTCGGGGCTTTGGCCTCAAGAGTCCATCAGACAAACCCCGGTTTAACCTCAGCTGCACCATTTTGTATTTGCAGGATTTTTTTGGTATTTCAATGTCTTCTGTGAAATAGAGTGGTAACAATAACTACTTCATAACGATTTTGTACTAAGTTAACAGGCGCAATAAGCTAAGAATGGTGACAGACACACAGTAAGTCCTCAATCGATGGAGTTATTAATACATTTTAAATGCTTGAACAGAGTCTGATCAAGCGTATTCAACAATAGCACTATTATTAGCTTTCAAGGTCCCCTCTCTAAGATTCTCTGAAACTAGAAGATTCTTAAATTCCCTTGGAGGTTGTTCCTAGAAAATAATCCTTAGAGTCAGATTACTTACGAACTATGACAACTAAATGTTCAGTATAAACTGTAGGAAAATATATAAGCTTTTTCTAGAATCATGTGGTAGCAGTAAGAGTAGGTCGTTTTAGCTTGAAGGCAATAACCAGTGGGTTATTCGTTCCACATCTGCCCTCTATTGTTTTACATGTAATAAAGCCACACTTGACAGTGACTTCAATAAACACATAGTCCTACAGAGAGAAGAATGTTAAGTGATTTGTTCAGGCACAATGTTAGTGAAACGAGGACCTGGATTTCAGACCGCCTCATATGACAACATAATTATATTACATTTCTCTTCGGTAGATATGTTTTATGTATATATATAAAAAACTACTAAAGCTCCGACTATAAGCAGTATTACAAACCTTTGCTTTAAGAACTTGGAAGATACTTTACTAAATGCTAAAACATAATTTAACTGGCAATCTCTCTTGCAGCAGAAAAAATAAAGACACTTAATGAGGCTTCTCCATTAAACAGAAGGATTGATTAAGACAGTTCCGTAATAATGTTGTTTCAGAAAATTATCTCCTACCTGGGTCTCCTCAGCTAGTTTACGTGACATGGGTTTGCTTATAGTTTAGCCCCATGGAGTCACAAACCTACAGGCAGTAAACACCTAAGGTCTCACCTAAAATTAAGTAAGTTATAGGGAAGAGGTGGAGATGTTAGAAGATGAAAGTGGTATGTGTGAATCAAGATAACAGCTTGCAGGGAAAACACAATTGCCAAGTCACTTTTTAAATTTTTTAAAGATTTTATTTATTTTTAGAGACAGGGAAAGGGAGAGAGACAAAGAGGGAGAGAAACATCAATATGTGGTTGCCTCTCTCATGCCCCCTTCTGAGGACCCAGCCCACAACCCAGGCATGTGCCCTGACTGGGAATCAAACCAGAACCTTTTGGTTTGCAAGCCAGCACTCAATGCACTGAGCCACACTAACCAGGGCCCAAGTCACTTTTTTAAAAAGCCACAAATATAATACAACTATAATAAAAGGGAGATCAGGTTTACTTTAAGTAATATTTGATCTCCTACCAACAACTGTGTCGCCAACTCTCACTGCATCACTTTGTGGCCACAGTGATTCGGAATCCACTTACTGGTCTCTTTTACTCTCTGTGGGCGCATTTCACAATGAGACTACGATGACTCTGTCCCAAAGGCTTTACTAGATGCTACTCTAGGACATATCCGTGTGTTAAATCATCACATAGTACACTTTAAACTTACACAACAGTGTGTCAATTAGACCTTAATAATGCTAGGGGGGAAATGCTACTCTAGGCTAAGAACGGGAGGTGAGTGGAGAGAAAAAAAATTAGTACTCAAGAATCCAGAGAGAGAAAACTTTCACTTAATGCAAATATAAACATAAATTAAAAGATAACATGGTTGAATTTGACAAGACATTTACTACTACACAATGTTTCTGAAGTGATCACGTCTTATTACCTGATGTCGTTTGATGATATCTTTCAATTTGTTAGCCAACTTCAGATCAATATCTGGCATGAGGTAGATGTTGGGTCTGGTCAGACAATTGCTCTGAGAAAGAAAAACAAATTTTTAAATAATCTTAGTTTTGAAATAATGTCACATTATTTATATATCATCCTAATGGCAGAAGTTTGCACCCAAATCTACACTGCTTAAAATGGGAAGATGTCCTCTGGTATGTGAAAGAATGTAGAAGTCTTATTATCAATATAAAACCTAGGTGTTCAGAAGGCTAATGACATCCCCTAACCCCTTTGTCAAGGGACACCTGGACAGAAAGATGCTGGGAATTACAATATAAGAAATTCATCATCAAGGGGAGAAGGGCAGGTAAAGGTGAAAGAAGGTATGGGGGGATAAGTGGTGATGGAAAAATATTTAAAAATTTTAAAAAATCATCCTTTTCATGAAGGTACCAAATTGACATATTAATCCCCCTAGCCAATTTTACCTGAACTCACCTTAACAGTCTAATGTAATGTTTTCATACACACCTTTTGTTGGTTGGAAGGAGGTGTATCAACTCATTTTGGCTCATTATGTAAATTACTTAAAATATAAAGACTGTGGATTATAGCTCATTATAGCTCTTTTCCTCCCATTTCTGATCTTACATACAGCAGTGATTAAAATATGCCTAACACCCCAAACCATCACCAAAAATCAACCAACCAACAAAAAACACTCAATTATTTCTTTAGCTAACAGTCCATGAGACAAGTTTTAGGCATTCAGCTAATATACCTAGCTAAATTTTTGCCAGCTGCCTCTCGCCAGGAAGGTTAATTCAATGATCATTAAAAATTACCAATCAATAAAAATATCAATACCAGGAAAGAAAAATAAAGTGTTCTCTCCTCCAAGTTTTAATCTAATTGGGGAAATAAGATCTATATTTATCGCACAACCATAAAACAAATCCAAAGAAAATCACTGTACAAACAAGCAACTAGTAGAATGAGACAGTATTTATATTAAATATAAAAGAGGTGCAAATAATGGGATTTGTGAAATTAAAAAAGAAAATTATCACAGATCATTTTATCGGAAGTTTAAGGTCAACATCCTGGCTTGTATGGCTCAGTGCACTGAGCACTGGCCTGAGAACTGAACAGTTGCAGGCTCAGTTCCATTCCGTCCCGGCCTGGTGAGGACATGTGTCTGGGTTGTGGGCCAGGTCCCCACTGGGGGCGTGTGAGAGGCAACAATGGATGTTTCTCTCTCACACCAATGTTTCTCTCCCTTTCTCCCTCCCTTCCCCTCTCTCTAAAAACAAATAAATGTAAATCTTAGAAAAAATAAAGTTTAAGGCCAATATTCTATTAATGACAAGTTTTAGTCATACTTCATGCCTCTAATCCTCCCAAAATCCACAAAAATAACAGAACAATAGATTTAAGAAAATTTTTCTTAGAACCGAAAGTATAGCCAAGGGAAAAAAGTTGTAACAATTTAACTTTCTCAGTTACCTGTACCAATGTTTTTTCAATATTCATAAACATCTCAACATTACGATCCATTCGGGATGGATTCTGTAGATCAAACCTCCGCCTAAAAGACAAGAAAATAATTAGTTAATTTGTCTCCCACCTTAAACAAAAGTGAACTTGGTTGTAGCATCCAATGCAAATGTGTTGGAGAGATCTGGAAATTAAAATAGCACTACAAAATGTATAAGGGTACTCTCTTCGTAGTAATAAAGCAGCAATGTCAAAACCTAAAAGATTAAATTTTAAGACATTAAGATTCACTCTGGGCAAGATGAAGTAACTGTTGCATGAAGTATCCCATTTCCCTTAAATCTCAGATATTTTAATATCATATAAAAAAGTAGTCTACCTGTCCAAAGGCAGCAAACTACTACACTATTCTTCAATGTAGCGAAGTCTATCAACTTTGTATATGCTTAAAAGTCATCTGTTCCAATTCAACAGTGTCTGTGTTCTCTTTGAGATTACTATTGTCCTAAATGTGCTGATACTCATCTCTTTACCTTTACTTAAAATCTTTCCCCAATGTCTGCTTACTTAAGTACCCAAATACAACATTTTGGTGTTTTCTTTACCTATTACTAGCCATCTTCATACGATTAAATCTTTCAAAATTTGAATGCTTTTTCTATATATATATTTTTAAATCCTCATCCAAGGATAGGTTTTTACTAATTTGGCAGGAGGGGAGGGAGTGTTGTGAGAGAGAAACATTGATTGGTTGCCTCCCAGACATTGCCCGGCCCAGGATCAAACCCACAACCTAGGAACGTGCCCCAACTTGGGGGGCAAACCCGAAACCTTTTTGGCCTACAGCACAACGGTCCAAACCACTGGTCCATCCGGCCAGGGCTCTCCATATTTTTTATTCACCACTTACTTTGCTTTTGTTCTATTTTAATTCGAGGGGGGGGAAGTACAGCTTAATGATTTGAGAGTGTGGGCTGTGAAGTCAAACTGCACAGCTTCCAATCCTGACCCAATTCTTATTTATGTAGTGTTGAGTAACTTTCTGATCCAAGAACCAATTTCCTCATTAGACAATGGCCCATTACGGAATTTTGTGAAGGTGAAATGAGATACATACATTAAGAGCTTAGCAGAGTGTTTATGCTGTCAGTAGCTGATCAATAAATGTCAATGAGAGTCACCACATTTTTAAAATCGCGACCACCTTGCGCCAGCTAGGAACAGGTGGCTCGGGTCCCGAGCGCACGCTCTCAGTTCTTCCCAGTTTTCGCCCTGGGGACTCTCCCCACGCTGCCATCCCTTCTTTGTAAGCTCTGCGGCCTCTCCTGGATGCCACCGCCCACTCTGTGGGCTGACACCGCCACCTGCAGAGCCAGCCCACAAGTCGCTTCCTCTGCGAAGCTCCTGCTGCTCCCCTCAGGCTCCTAAACCATGCAGAGTGCACTGCGCGCTGATGCGGCCCCACAACAGTCATCATGCTGGGGCGGCGGCTCAGTAGACCCTGGAGGGCCAGGGCCAGGGCTCTGCAGTTTTTACTAAGTAACCGTGTGCCTACTGGAAAGAAATGTGTGTCTTTATAAAGCAAACCACTCAATAAGTTAATATTTATTATGACTGAGTTTTAATATTTATTAGGACTTTTTCATTACTGATCTAAGACAAGATTGAAATGTTTCCTAAAATAATTTCAATTAAAAAATTAAGCAAAGTATCCACTAAAACATAGGAATAAGTCATTTAAAGTAGAGTTAGTTCCAGTTTTAAAAACGGCATTTACAGACGAGACAAAACCTGTCTCAATGAACCGTATCTCGACTTATCCTTGGTACACAGAACTTTTCCTTCAACCCCATTCTTTTGGTTTTTGAGTATGCTGACCTTTCTTCCCTAACCTTCCCTGACCTTTTCAGAGGAAGGGGTAGGTTAGAGATGCCACACAATTTCCACCAACTGGCAGGACAACAGATTGCCAGCTGACTACCTGGAACACCCTGACCGCGGAGAGCTTTTCGCGTTCTTTCGGCACAACCAAAAGGCCCCCCTTCCGAAACGCGCGGTCATTCTTCCACAGGCTTCGGGTAACAGAAGAGCTATGTCCATGAATGCATCACTTACAGACCTGCTCACAGAGGTTATTCATTATTCAGAGAAACAGCTTCCTAAATAACTGATTCAGATAACGGGGCTGAAGGGAATTACGTCTTTTACAAATCTGAGGAATAGTTTGAAAGAGTCATTAAAGAAATTTAAATAGGGCGGCTTGGATTGATCTGAATATTAAAAGCGCAATAAATCTGTTAACAGAGGAAAAAAATCAAGAATTTATTCTGCCTTTTCAACTATTGATTAATAAAATTTCTCTTTAGAAAAATATACCAGCTAATAAATGAAGAAGGAATAACCATCTTTAACAAGAAATAATCTAAGTAACACTAAGGACCTGTATCTACACAACAGAACATCTACCTTCTAATTTTTGCCAAACTAGAATTCTGCCACCTGACAGAGCTGCGATGACAGGATGGCCTGGGCACGGGACACCGAGGCCCCCCCACTGCGACAGAGGAACGCGCGGCGGCACACTTCCCGGCAGGTGAACACAGCCTCTGAGCCGCCCCCGCACCCACAGCTGACAGGTTCTGTGTCTTCAGTGAAACAACATATAAAGAAACAAGTTTCACCTCAGGCCGACTGATACAAAGAGTCAAGTTCCGGTGGCACGTCACTGTCAGAACAAAACTACTCAGCGAAAAGCACTGCTGTACAGTGCTGTTGCCAAAAACCAGACGACAACAACAAGAACAAACCGAAACTTGAATCAAACTAAGCCTTTAGATTTAACTACTTTACTGGAAGTTTAGACGACTATGTTAAACAATATCCTGTGGACACATCAGCAAAATAAGTACAAAACACACACAATTCTAAAAGGCTACGAGTGGTGTAAAAAATAACTGGTGAGGAAGGGAGGAGGAAGAGAGAGTGAGAAGGAAAACTATGAGTTTGTTTAAAGACACTTTAGAGTCATAGCAACCAAAAGAAATGTATAAACCTTGTTTGGGTATTGATGCAAACAAAACAAAAGCCATCATAAGATAATCGGGGACCCTGAACAGTAAATGGATATTTAATAATGTTTAAAAATTACTGATGATTTTCTTAGGTGTGATAATGGCTTAAAACAAATTATTATGTTTTAAAGCTCCTATTTAGAAATAAAGACACCATGAAATATTTACAGATGAAACTGTAAAGTTAAAAGCGCACGATGGCAGCCCTGGCTGGCGGCCCCACTGGACGAGAGCTGTCCCATGCGCCGCTGCGACTAAATACCAGCGCTCCACTGAGGGCTTATTAATTAATCACGAGTCTTCTGCTTTGTTTTCCTCTCGCATCTGCTGGGCAAGGTTTTGCAGCAATCTTTCAATCTAAGTTGATACCTACTGCCTGTATAAAGGGCCCTCATTCGCTGTACTGCTCCAGTTGTGGAGTCTCTTGTAAATATATTTACGGATGTTCTCTTATCCTCAGCTACGTATAGAGAATAGAGCCTGAATGCAAATAATCAACAATGCATCCCTGAGAATAAGTTTTTAACTCTTGGGAAAGTGGTGTGAACGGCTTGGAAGGTAAACTTCTACAAGGCAAAACAAAAACGCCCTGAGCCGGGGCAGGGCCAGCAGCAGGCAACGGCACAGGAGGACAGCTGTGTGGGAGGCGACGAAAGCGGCCTCGACAGGAAGCGGCTTTGTGAATGAGGCCAGCTAGAAAAGCCTGGAGACCCTCACCAGAAGGACGGCCCAGTACACCAGGGGTGGCCTGCAGCCCAGCGCTCATGAGAGCATGGAAACAGGGACCATGTGAGGCGGAGGGAGGTCTAGAATATAGAAGTAGACCAAAAATTATATTCCACTAGGTATGTATGTTTGGGAATAAGTTGGTCTGGCTCCCTGCTATATTATATTTTTAAATAAAAAAGCTGGAGGACTAGCAGAAGAAACATTTTAAAATATGCTATTAAAATGGGTAATTCTTCCGAGGCTAAACCACCTAAACCACCTTTCTGCAGGAGTGACAACCTGACTGGCCAGCACGTCTCCAGGTGAGACCTAAGGGCCACTTAGAGTGTGTTCTGAAAATGCAGGTTCCCAGGAGCTGACAATCTGTCCACGAAGCCTGGTAATCTGTATTTCTAACAAGGACTCCAAGTGATTCCTAAAGTTTGAAAGTTACTGCCAGAGAGAGGGAGGGAGGGGGGAAAAGGGAGAGGGGAAAGGGTGAAAGGAGAAGGGAAACTGTACAGGAGCAGGGATGCGCCTCCTGGCCCCAGAGTGAGTATGGACTCCTCTGAGCCTGTCCCTTTCCTCTCTGACCTGAGGGGGGCAACTGGATTCTCTCATTTTGAAGGCTGGCTCAGCAGAACACTTAAACGTCTCCCTTTCAGCGCACTCAAAGTTCATAACACACACATGCATTTCATAGTGAGCCTTCCTTCTAATTTGCTAGTAACGCACACCCATCTACTGTCTTACATACAACCATGTATGAGAGAGAACTTGCTTGATAAACTCAACAGTTGTTTGATGTTTTTCTTGGATGTAGGCACAAAGTAAATTAGGGCTCTAAACAAAAGATCACCTATTATGCATGTTAATCATAATGTATTTATAGAATTCTCTAACACCATACAAAGAAGGAACAGGATTTAACATTAAATAACTTATACATTACATCAAAACGTATAAATACAAAAACTTACCATCCCTGTTCATTTTTATACTTGTAAGCAGCCCCGAGGATGTGACACAAGGTGCCTCCAGCTTTGAAATCCATGAAACATTTTGCCTAGAAATGATACAAGTTACACATAAGAAAAATAAAAGTTCCAACAAAATTACTTATTTCTGAATTCTAAGTTATAAACTCAAAGATATAAATAATTCCTTAAATACTTTCTGGAACAAATGAGGTATAAAGAAATTTTTCCAAAAAAGTGGATTACAAAAATTTCTTTCCAAGTTTAATCAACATATTACTCTGAATGTAAAATCTGTCAAAAACGAAATTTAACCAAAGATACATCAAAATGTCTCAACAGGAAACATGAATGGACAAAACTTATAAATGACAAACTCCACTGGAAAGTATAAAATTTGACTTTTAAAACACAAAATTCCAGTAGTAGATATTTCCCAACAATATGTTTTTCTTATAGTGTAAGAAATATTAATATACTAAATTTTTTCCAATTTGGTTTCCTTACTTTACCTATTTTTTAAAGATTTTATTTATTTTTCAGAAAGAGGGGAAGGGAGAAAGAAAGAGAGAGAGAAACATTGATCAGTTGCCTCTCGCACACCCCTGACTGGGGACCTGGCCCGCAACCGAGGCATGTGCCCTGACTGGGAAAAGAACCAGCGACCTTGTGGTTCACAGGCTGGAGCTCATCCCACTGAGCCACACCAGCCAGGGCTTCTGACTTTAGATGACCAAAAACTAAAACTAAATTCTTTTTATAGTTTAATGACCACTGAAACACTGTAGTACTATATTTAGCTATATGTAAACTTATAACTAAAATCTGCACAATTCAAAAGATATGCACTTCATGAATTATTAATAAAATCAAATAAATTTTAAAAACCTCAAATAAATCAAATGCTGAATGATTTCAACATTATGGAAGGAAAAGCAATGTGAACACATCATTAAATAAACTAATGAGATGAAGTGTTAGAAATGTATCAGCATTTTTTTCTTTGAAAACTACTGTGACTACTGGGGCGTGGCCACAAAGTTCATTTAGTTTTTCCCATATGATGGCTTTAGTAGTGCTCAGCTGTCTTTAACTTCATTTGAAACAATTTTGTTAAGATTATATTGTGACAGTTCTATCAGTGTGTATTAAAAAAAAAAATCAAAATTGGTGAATTTTTGTGCAGCCATTTTAATACTGAAGATGGAAGAATAATGCAACATTTTTGGCTTATTATGCTTTATTATTTCAAGAAAGGTAAAAATGCAGAACTGAAATGCAAAACAGATTTATGCAGTATATGGAGAAGGTGCTATGACTGATAGAACATATCAAAAGTGGTCTGCAATGTCTTAGTACTATTAACATTTTGGCCGAGTAGCTCCTGGCTGTGGGGCTGTCTTTTGCACGGGAAGGTGTTGAGCAGCACCCCTGAACTCTACTCAGTAGAAGCCAACAGTGGGAGATCGCCAACATACTCCAAGTCAAGTTATTGGTGAAAATGAAAAATGTGTCTTTTACAGAAAAAACTAAAAGGACTTTTTTGGCGGACCAAATAATATAATGAAAAGAACTACCTGATACCAAATACCATTAAGGAGACAGAAAACAGAACGGTGGCTGCTAGGGGATGGAAGGAGGGAGGAACGGGAAGTTGCTATTCCATAGGTACAGAGTTTCAGCTTGGGAAAATGAAGAAGTTCTAGAGATTGGTAGTCGCAACGTATTTAGAATAATGTGAATGTACTCAATACCACTGAACTGCACACTTAAAAATGATGAAAATGGTAAATTTTATGTCATGTATATTTTCCAACAAAAATATTAATCAATAATAAACAACATTTTAGAAAATAAGACATATCATTAAGATGAATTCTTCCAAATTAAGCTGACAAGTAAGCCAAGTTAGACTGGTTATCCTGTTGTTTATTTTTATTTTTTTAAAAGATTTTATTTATTTATTTTTAGAGAGAGGGGAAGAGTGGGAGAGAGGGAGAGAAACATTAGCGTGTGGTTGCCCCTCACACGCCCTCTACTGGGGATCTGGCCCAGAACCCAGGGCTGTGCCCTGAGTTGGAATCAAACTAGTGACCTTTGGGTTCACAGGCTGGCACTCAGTCCACTGAGCCACACCAGCCAGGGCTCCTGTCGTTTTTGAAACACATGGGTTCTGAGTTCCTAATTTATTTTGCCCAGTGCTATTCCCAGTACATCACAAATGCTGCATTACAAATTCCTAAACAAATATATCTGGATGCAATTCTTATTGACAACTTGAGAAAATTCACAAAACTATCACTTTGTAGCATTTGCATCTTAAATTAGTACAGTATGCTGGGTAAGTGCTTAACTAGAGTAGAATGAGACTTAGTTCTCCTACTAAACCTTTCCCGAACCCCCGGTGACTGGTCTAAAATGCTTTCTCAAACCGCACATGCGCATCGCCACTGCACACACACCACTCACGGCACAATACTGAAACGACTGCTCTACAGGTTTATCTGTAATATGAACTCCTTGAGGACAGGGACAGTGTCTTATTCAAATCTTTTACACCAATATTCAGCAGAGTGCCTGAAAATGCAGTAATCATTAAAACTTTTCTCAACAGTTCAAGTGTACTAAAATAATTTTAAAAGTCACAGCTATGCTGAGAAATACACACTGAGCAGACCAGAATAAAAAAAAATATCTGTACACACAGTTTAAGATTAAGGTCAATTTTGGGACTGATATTAAATTTGAGAAATTAAATCATTACCAGACACATGCTTAAGACTACCTCCTATCACTCTCTAAAGGGATAGGGGAAAGCAAAGGCAAAAGATGGAGGCCTTCAATTTTCCAGGGGTAAGATGTGAACAAAAGAGGGAGGCCCGCGAACCTGTCACAGGCACGCGTCCCAGTAATAAAGCACAACAGGAAAAGCACCCTTAGAAATGTGGCAGAACAAAAAACAAAAAGGGACACTCACTATATCGCAGGGATCCTTAGAGCCTGCATAAAAGTGGATTTGGGACTCTGATCCTCATGACAAACTCGGTATCAGAACCACCCAGATTTAAAAAAAAAAATAATAAAATGAAATAAAATAAAATAAAATAAAAAGAGTAACGGGTCAGGGTAACACACTGGAGGCAGACAAGAGACTCCTCAGGGACACCCACTGGGCCCTGCCTGTACTTCCTCACTCAACCCTCGCCCCAACCCCCCCACCCCCCCAGGCTTTGCTTTGACACCAGACAGGATTTGAGTACAAAAGCTCAGGTTCTTAAACATTCTCTGAAGCAGAAGCTCAGACCTGTAACGGTAAATCCCTCCTGATTAGCATTAAAAAAACCAAAGACTACAAGGACAACAGGGTACCAAAACCTGGGCTTTCCAGAGCAAGCCAGAGAGACCCCAGTCTCATGTGAGAGCTCAGCAGCTGCACACCCCAGTTAGAGACTCTCAGGCCAGGGACCGCTCTAACAGGCTGCTTCTATTCCCAGCTGTGTGACCACACTGCTTTTGATAAGCTGTTCTATCTCTGGCAGCTAAATTGGAAATTCAATCTAATCTTATTCTTGATGTATGTAAGTGGTCTCATCCTATTTATAGCCCATCTAAAATTCTGCTGAGTGCAATGAAACCTAGAAAAGCTACATGTAAGTGCAATACTTAAAAGTACTTTAAATTTGTACCACTGTCCTTATTTGTTTGCGGTATTAATTAATGACAAGATAGTGCTAACAACTGTAAAGAGTAGAAGGACAATGTTTTGGTGTGGAGAGAGCATACACATAAATAATGACACATTTTGGCCTCTTCATCAATGAATGTGAGAAGTGAATAAAGAAATAGAAACTGAGTATGTCCAAGAAACAAGTAAGTTCACAGAAATTTAGTTGTCTTCACCCCCGAAAAGAACTCACAGGGAAAAAACACATCATTTCAACTCCAGAAGCCTTTACCTTACAAATATGATGACAAATAATAATTTACAAGTCAAATAATTCACAAGTTCCTTTACATACTTTAACTGCTTTAGGGATTAAAACAGTGTTTTCTAGACATAGTTTACAATTTATTAGTATGAAGTTACATTACAGTTGACCTTTGAACAACGTGTGGGTTAGGGGCACCAACCTCCCCTCATCCCCTGCCGCCCGGCATAGCTGAAAATCTGCTTTCCTCCTGGGAGTCTGAAATTTTCATATGCACGAGGCAAAATGTACCAGCCCGCATAAAAACTGTGGGTGGGAGCCGTTGCTGGACTTCCATGGGCAGCAACACTATGTATGTGCCACCACATTTTCACCGTGAGGGGAGGAGGGAGCTGTGTGACCCTGCTCGTGAGGGAGAGGGCACAGGAAGCCTGCTGCGTGGATGCCTCCAGGCCACACCTGAGTCTTTTTCCCGGCCACCGGACTACGTCCCATGCTTGCTACACAGCTGCAGCAAATCTTCGTTACGGGTACAGCTGCATGCTGAGTTCCATGCGTCTTTCTGGCAAATCTCTGAACATGGGTGGTCTTGGGGACCAAATAACAAAATTATTTGAATAGACAACTCACAAAAGATGGTGTACAAATGGTCAATAACCACATAAAGATGTTTAATATCACTGGTCATTATAAAATTGCAAATTAGAAGTGCAATGAGACTCCACTATATAACCATCAGGATGGGTTAAGTTCTACATTCATCACACCAAGTGACGAAGAAATGCAGAACAACTGGGACTCTCAAACACTGCTAGATAGTACATAAAATGATATAAAAATCTAAAAAAGTTTGGCAATTTCTTAAAAAGTTAAATGTTACCAACTCTATGACCCAAACTTTCCATCCCTTAGGTATTCACTCATTAGAAATGAAAACATGTCCACAGAAAAACTTGTATGTTAACATTGGTAAATTTACTACAGAGCTAAAAAACACCCAAATTCCCATCAAACAGTGAAGGACTGAAAAAAAAAATGTGGTTTATCCATACAATGGAATACTAACCAACAATAAAAGGGAACGAACTACTGATACATGGAACACATATGCCATGTATCTCAGAATCGGTATGCTGAGTGAAAGCAGCAAGGCGAAACAATGCTATAATACTGTGAGTCCATTTATATGAATTTCTTGAAATTGTAAAATCTGTGTAGCTCAGTGGATTAAGTGCTAGCCTGCGAACCAAATGGTTGCTGGTTCAAATCCCAGTTGGGGCACATGCCTGGGTTGCCAGACAGGTTCCCAGTTGGGGGTGCATGAGAGACAACCACACGATGTTTCTCTCCCATTCTTTCTCCATCCCTTTCCCTCTCTGAAAATAATCTTTAAAAAAAGAAAAACCATCAAAAATAAATAAAACATAAATACAATTCCAGTGAACTGAGGCTCCTCCTTGTGAATCCACTCTATGGTATGGATAGGGCCACAGGCCTGCCATTAACAGTGGTCACAGAGCTCTCTACAGCCTGCTCAGCATCCGCCCCGGCACACCCTCTGCCTGGCACACAGGCCCAGCAGGAGGAATGTACAAGAGTTTCTGATTGTTGTTAATGTTCTATTTCTTACCTGGGTGGTGGTTAAATGAATGTTCTCTCTGTAATGATTTGTCAAAGTTTGTTTTATTCATTTTCTATATATTTTACAGTAAGAGTTTAAAAAAAATGAAAGAAGTCACTGCTCCAGAAAGCCAATGTCCCAACCATTTCGGTTAATGACTGCTTGCGCTCTGCTGTCATCAGAGTTCTTAGCTACACAGTGAAAAAGCCAACTTCCAATGCATATGCAACACCTAGGCTCTCTCTAGTCCCATGTTCCCAAAGATAGTCTCCCACTCTGAAATTTCTAGAATGGCAGACTGTTAGACGAGTTGCACACTAAATGATTATTAATTTTTTAGACGTAATGACAGCTCAAAATTTTGAACATCTCGTGAACATATTTAGAATCTTCAGCTACTTTAGACTCTGACTTGGCCTTTTAATAGTCTTTCAGGTTCTTAGAGCTTTGTTGTTTTTAAACACAGACCCTTATATCTTTTTAAAAGGGCAGAATACAAAATGGCTCTGTAGTATCATTACAATTAAAGTTTATGCTATGTGTATACACATAGCATAAACCTTGAAGGGATTATTAAAAAAAAAACAAGAATTTTTTTACTTGTGAGGAAGGCATAAACACTATTTTTGGTTTGAATTCGTATTTATGTTTGCCTGTGTAACATTATTTTTAGCCTTATATACTTTTTCCTAAATTTTTATAACTTCTCAATATTAGATAGAACATACCCAATGTTGAGCCAGCTTTTTTATTCTTTTCTTAAAAAAAAAAACACACCACATTTATTTTATTTTTCAGAGACCAGTAAGGTGAGGGAGAAAGAGGAGGAGAGAAACATCAATGTGTGGTTGCCTCTCACATGCCCCCAACTGGGGACCTGGCCTGCAACCCAGGCATGTGCCCTGACTGGGAATCAAACCAGCGACCCTTTGGTTCACAGGCCAGAGCTCAGTCCCCTGAGCCAGCTTTTTAATATTCAGTATGATTTAGAAAGTTACTTACAAAGTTCCACTTTGATTTACAAAAAGAATTAGCCCAAATAGTGAACTCTAACACCAGTACTATTTATTCTCACACACACAAGTTTTAAGGTAATACATGGCTTCCATGTTTCACTAAAACATTATTTTCTCTCATCCACTTTAATTTTCCTCCATTATACATCATACCAATCCCTTTCACTTGGGAAATGCTACATACTACTTTGAGGGGCAGGGAAGTACATCTGGTCCCACTGGCACTAAGCCATGAATTATTTTTAATTATGGTTTATGCCTAAAAATATTCCTCCCTAATCTTTAGAATCTGGAAAAAAATAACGGTTTAGTTTCCAGGAATTAAATATCCCACAAATAAAGCCCCTTGTAAATACTGTTTTTATAGATACTCATATAATCCCAATTAATACCAATATAATGTCAATCATTTTATATAAAATACTTTATAATGTTATGTGTAAATTTTATCCTAAATGATAACATACTTGGTGAAGTGCCATCTATATGTATTATATTAGTGTTTTAAATGATGAAAACTTCAACCAGTTCCTGATTTCACAATTCTAAACCATAAGAAATAAGGGAATAAACACTCAAGTATTTGAGTTCCTAAGAGAAGAGGAAATAAAACACTCAAGTATTTAGAGCTAAAGAAACAGTAAAAGAGCAGCAATATAGCTAAAAGGCGATGCACTTACAGGGAGCTTGGTGAAGGCTGGGTTGGCGACATGCTTCCCAAAGGCTTCTTCCTGGAACTGGAGAAGCTGCACCACCAGCGCAGCCAGCGTTTTATTGGTGGGCGCGTCCGCATGAACGTACTGCAAGACAAGGGCAGGGGCTCAAACACTGGGACACGCACACGGGAGAATGTTACCTTCCTTCCTGGGACCTACTGAGCATCGGCACAGGGGCCGATTTATAAATTCCTGAGATGTATTCTCTGCTGTAGAGGAGGTTACAAAAACAAATACCAGGGGTGGCAGGGAGGGACAGACAAGAGTCTCCTTAGTTAACAGGTCTTCAGACGACAAATACCATGCCTAAGAGACCAAACCTGGCACATCTCACCTGGACCTCAGACGCTGAGGCTCTGGACTTCAAACTAGAGTCTGATGCTACAGATGAGACCTACTGGCCAGTGTGTTTTGTTATGTGGGATGAATGTAACTATTCTGCAGCCAGTGAGCAAACTGTTGTTTTTCAAACAAGTCCACAAATCCTGTGACAATCCTCTCATCAAGAGGTGGGGTCTACGCCCTCTTCTACTGAATCATTCTTAGTGACTCGCTTGTAACCGACAGGATGCAGAAGTGATGCTATGTGACTTCTGAGAGTAAATCAAAAAAGGTCATACAGGGTCCACATAGTTCTTTTGGGACACTCACCTTTGGCGTCCTGAACCACAGTAAAGGAGCCCAGTCACCCCGACCCCACCAACCTCTGAGGAAGCCCAGGCTCTGTGGAGATGCTACGGCTGCCAGGCCCGGCTGGTGTCCCAGGGGCCTGACAGTTCCAACCACCAGACACGTGAGCAGATGGTTCCAGATGATTCTGGCCTACAGCTGTCAGGTCACCCCCAGTCATCAAGTCTCCCCAGTTGAGGACCCAGACGTCACTGAGCAGAGACAACTGTCCCCATTGTACCCTTTCAAATTCCTGACACACTGAAACTTTAAGCATAATCGGAGTTGTTTAATGCCATTAAGTTTTGAGCACAGAAAAGTGGCTGCCTTTATGCATTAAAAAATACATGTATATGCACTTAAAATTGTTAATTAGGATGGTAAGTTTATGGTTTTTACAATTAAAAAAAAACTGTTTTAAAACAAATATATGTGGAAAGTTAACAACGCTGAGGAGGATGTCAAAAGGCCAAACCAGCAGGAGACAAGCTAGCTTTACAGCCCAGAAAAATAATGGGTAACATGACAGGGGAAGCATAAAGTTAAATTAAATGTAAAAGTTTAAATTGGTATTAAATATTCAATATCACTTTAAGAAACCAATATTCAAAAATTTTTTTAAGACCTCCAATTCTGAACAGGAAAACCATCTATACTGTTTTTGACTTTAGTTTCATGAAAGACAAAAAGGAAGCCCTAAATTTTTCCTCCTGGAGCAAGCCTCTTTCCCAGTACCACCCAACATTTCCAGATTAACGTGGCAGGTTTCTATTACAATACATACTTCTTAAGTCATTCATATATGGCAACATATCAGCTTCACAGTCTACCATTACTATACATTAAGTTGAATGGTCTCAATTTGTGCCACTGCCATGACAGAGCATAATATACAAGGACAATTCTTAAAGCTTGGCATCTTCTCAAATTTTTACCTGTTCAGGTGCATCGGCTTTCGGATCTAAATGAAATAGCCAGCGTGCAGTTAACTTTGTTGAAGGCTGGTTCATATTTTGTTGAAATGTTTTATTTTACATGAAATCTTCTCAACCAAAAGTTGGTAAAATTCCACCTGCTGCCTATTTCTGTGTGGCCAATAGCTAAGAATGAGTTTTGCACTTACCCACAAGATAACTTTAGCACATTTAATAAGTACAGGATTCCCAAATGGACCATATTTTTAAAAAAAAACAACAAACTGCAGTTTGTTTGCATATGGTAAAGCAACATGAAAAATTAACAATCTTAACTTTTTCAGATACTTGTAGCTAACTGAACAATGCCAAATTCTAAAGCTGAAAAAGATACCAACTTGGAGGAACGCTGTTCAACTAAAGACAAATCAACCCTCCAAGCAAAAAGTCACTTTTAATCCTTGTTTATTATATAGAGTCCAGAAGAAGTAACATCACTGAGTGTGGTTCATAGGGTATGTGAATGTCTCACGAGGTGGACAGCAATTTGAAAATTACACCTAAAATGCCATTTGGTGTGCTTGAGTGTGATACAGAATTATGTTACAGAATTACACACTTACAATTTTGTAAAAGATTTTATGTAATAAAAAAGGGCTTTATTTGTGCCAGATCCTGTGCGTGTATAGCTTTGTAGACATTATAAACTTCACTACCATACATTTCATTAAATGAATGAGAAAAGGTTTAGAATGAAAGGTTTCATGTGATCAAACCTCTAGTTTCAAAATATTCATCATTCATCATTCAAAACACACTCTCTTCAGTTTCACAGAAGACAACAAAAAACTATAAAAATAGCAACATTCTATTTCACCAATAAGAATGAAGCAGGCTGCCCTGACCAGCATTGCTCAGGTGGTCAGGCGTGATCCCGAAAAGCAAAGGTCGCTGCTTGGATGCCGCAAGAATTTTTGAAACATGCAATGCCTGACTATTTAGTTAAGGGCAATGACCTCTTTTCCCTTAGATTCTCAAATTAAAAAATGACGACAGCCAACACAACAAAAGCCATCCAGTGTGAAAGAATGAAATACACACTTATCTTTTGTCAGATCAGCAAAAAATACATTTTTTGGTGTGCTGCAGAATTTAGTAATTAGTTTATGCGTGCCATGAGACGAAAAAGGTTGAAAATCTCTGTTCTAAGTGATGTATCTTTGGAAGCAGTGTAAATGAACTTGGTTGTACCAGTGCAGGATAGTGGAATGATTATTACATTTAGTTGGAAGACAAGAGTTCAGTACTTTTGGCTGTTTATTGGTGGTGTCCTTGAACAGATCTCTTTTTTTCCCTATGTTTTAATTGTTCATTTGTAAGTTGGGAGTAAAACTGTCTCCCACAGGACTGTTGTTAAAATCAAGGGAGATAGTCCTTAAAGATGGATTATAGAAATTTGAGGTGGTTGTGGTACTTTTGCCATATATCCCATGGTCAGCCTGCTTCATTTTTTTTTTTTTTTAAGATTTTATTTATTTTCAGAGAGAGAGGAAGGGAAGGAGAAAGAGAGGAAGAGAAACATCGATGGGAGAGAGGGAAACACCTATTGGATGCCTCTTGTATGCACCTCGACCAGGGAACAAACCTGCAACCCAGGTACATGCCCTGACCAGGAATCGAGCCAGCAACTTTTTGCTTTGTGGGACAATGCCCAACTGAGTCACACCAGTCAGGGCCACAAAAAGTTCTTAGCAGCTTTCAAAATACTGACTCCTGATTATGAAGAAAGAAATTAATGATTATATAGACTATTTCAGTCAAACATTTTATCTTTTGATCAAAAAAGGTTCAACACCATGTTTTACTTGCCAACAATTTTTTAGTCTCAAAGTATGTTGGTTAAGAAAGTTAGGAAGATATGTTTAGAAAGTTTTATCAATAAATCTGCTTTATATTACCTATGACATTAAAGTATGAAGTTTAACTTGTCCCTAAACAATCCTATTGCAACAAATGTCCCATGAAAAAAATAATTGTCGCCCTGGCTGGTGTGACTTTGTGGGTTGAGCACTGGCCTATGAACTGAAAGGTTGCTGATTCAATCCCTGGCCAGGGCTCATGCCTGGGTTGCAGGCCAGGTCCCTGGTTAGGGGCCTGCAAGAGGCAGCCAATTGATACTTCTCTCACACATCGGTGTTTCTCTCCATCTCTCCCTCTCCCTTCCCCTTTCTCTAAAAATAAATTAAATCTTTAAAAAACTGTACCTGTGAAATAATTTGTGTAAAGGCCATTTAAATGACTTCTAAATCATTTTGAAATCTTTTTTCAGGAATCGGCCAAAATTCAGGAAGAAACTTACCTGGAATCTTAATGGCTTATTTAATGGCTTAAATATACTTCACCTCCAGGGTATGTGAGCTGAATTAATGTGAGATCAGTGAAGTTTTATAATCTGAAAACCACTCAGAAACTATGGACAGAAATACAGCTTTGACCTTTATCAAAGTTGAAAGACATGTAACAGTACAAAAACAGCAGCTTAGGTAGATGAAGAGGCTTCCACACTGCTACTAGACCTCAAATGCAACCTCAGGCAAACAGTTAACGTCCCTGGGCTTCTGCTGCCTCTTATCTAAAGCAGCCACTGCCTCTGGATTCCTTTGGCCCAGCTGAAGCTCATCCCAGTCAAGAAGCACGCACTCTCCCTTCTGTGTTGCTAAGCCAAACTTATCTAGAAGGCCTAAATGAAGAGGTTCCTAGACTAGTTTAATCTATTCATTCACTGAACAAATATTTACTGAACACCTACCAAGGGCATTTAGAAAACAAAAACAATACAAGGAAGTTGTCTTTTAATTTGCAATCGCCTGGATTTCACAAGCAGGTGTCTACACCTACCTTTTCCACAAAGTGAGAGTTCCTTAAAGAGAGACAGGTGTAGGGGTGGGGGACTTGGAGCCGGGCAGGATTCAGTGAATCCCAAACCTGCCACTCCTGACTGTAATCTTAAAGAAATTACTTAAATCTGGAGCCTCAGGTTCCTCTCATGTGTAAAATGAAGTAAATAATGTCATTCAGGACTGCTGTGAAGACTTCAGTGAGTTATGTTTTAAATGCCTGGATATGGTAGATGCTCAGTTGTTCACTGGCTGCATGGACAGACCCATCAATAAAAAGAGGACTACCAATGTCATGTTTATCTCGCACAGTTGCTGAGGTTTATCAATCTGAAATTGCAGAAACAAATGCAATAGAAAAGTTTAGTTAAAAACCCATCAATGTGTACAAGGAAAGATACAATGTATAAAAAAGAAGCAAAGAGCCTTCTGGATAATACTTTACCATTCCAACACCACTCTCAGAAATGATAGGATTTTGGCTGTCAGGTTGAATTCTGAATCTGACTAAACCCAAGAATTATACCCTGGCTTTAAGAAACCCTGAGAGCCTGGCCTGCCAGCGCAGTTGGTTAGAGCGTCAACCTGACACACCAAGGTTGCGGGTCCATCTCTGGTCAGGGCACATACAAGACTGCCTAAATTAGTGGACAACAAATTGATGTTTTTCTAAAATCAACAAATAAAAAGTGTAAAGGAAAATTTTTTTTCAAAAGAAGCCCTGAGAAGTCAAACCTAACTTTGACTTTGTCTTTAATACCTCAGGGATGCGGAGCCAATGGTAACCTACTAGTCTCAACACTCTGGGACAAACCCTTCAGTCAGCCTCACCGCCACTGCCTCAACCACCCAAACAAACCTCTGAAAGGTTATCCATTAAACTGCCCTCTTGAAATTGGGACCAGGTGCACAGAGTTTGGAGCGGTGGAACTTACTTTTTTCCCTTTCTTTTCCCCTTTGATATATGATTTGAACAACAGTCCTTTGGGAATCACAAAGGCATAATCTACAGGAATATTACTCACTCCTGAGTATTTTTCTTTGTTAAAGCTATACTGATAAAGTAATACAATATTATAAGTTAATTACATTTCAATAAAGCCGGGGGTAGGGGAGAAGCCTGACTGGGCGGGGAGGCGCCAGGCTGAATTTAAGACCCAAAACACTGCCTGAAGGGCACATGATTTAAAAAAAAAAAAAAACTTTCATAATATATATTCAATTCCCTTAGCCACTTCCAGAAGCTCTAGTGAGCACACACAAAAAAGTGACCAGTTTATCACTATGTAAGGGAGAGCAATATTCTCATCTACTTCCATGTGAATGAGGAAAATCTACAATCCCAAATGTGACTCTAAAATTTCAGAGAAGGAAAAAAGAAAAATCGAAGCATCTAAAGATATACTGTAATAATATATACTGTCTCTCACTTCCTAAAACTTCACGTAAGTGTCATTTCTGGAAGTACCACAATGTGATGTCAAAAAAACCCCTAAGATCCCTGCCCAGCGCCTAACTTCAAAAAACTTACAGGCCTCACTGCGCTGTACACCCAACTAAGTAGATTCCTAGACTATTTTATCTTTGCATTCATTCAGCAACTATGTATTTACTAAGGAACTACTAAAGGAGATGCAATGAGTACCAATCATGTTCAAGGACACACTGTACTGAACAGGCCTGACAAGCTCCTTGCCAAACTGCTATGGTCTTTAATGCGGAAGTACAGAGCTGAAAAAGGTGTTCCAGAAATTTGGGGTCAGGAGGAGTATTTTTGGCAGTCTGCTTCATTACACCTTCTAAGGGAGACATTCCTAAATATTTACATTAAGGGAAACCTGAACATTTGTTAAAATCAAGAGGTTAAGTCACTCTTTTAATACCACTGACTCTGAAGAACTTACATTCCAAAGGTAGGAGAAACAGACAAGTGAAAAAAATAAAGATGATATGAAGTGAGATGATCAAACAATATAAATGGGGTTCTCAGGGAAGGCCTGAGAAACAAGGGTACAGCGAATATTAAGTCTTGTACTCTCAATATACATAACTTAAAGTACTGTAAAGTAAAAACTGTCTATTTTTAATATTAGTTCTCACCAATACTATAATATAGTAATTAACCTGCAGTTATTACCTTCCGAGTGTAATTGTACAGATTCGTTCTCTAACAAATCAACAACAGGTAGGAGAACCTTAGTTACCTCACTTGACTTTGAACACTAATCTCCAAACAAAAAGAAGCTGCTTTTCCACACTGGCTCAGACAGTTTTTAATAACCATTGTTCACATCCCTAACGCAACTAACAAAAGACAAAGATTCACACCCTCCAGGCTGCTGAGCTCTACTGTTCCTGCGCACTGGGGTAAGCAGGGGCTTCGCCCGGGATGCGTGGCCCCCAGGAGCCGGGACCTAGGGTCCCCGTGGACCCCGGGGCGCACGGGCTCCGGGAGCAGACCGCGGGGGCGTGGCGAGCCGGGTACCGGCCTTTGTTGTCCCTCGTGGCGCGCGGGGGGAGGGGCGGCCCGGGGCCCGCGAGGCCAGTAGCCGCCCCGGCCCCGTCGCGTGACCTCCCGGCCCCCACGGGCGCGTGAACCCACCTTCTTGTAGTGCTTGCCAAGCCAGACCCGCACCGAATCCAGCTGGGATACCGTCTCCGGGCTCTCCCAAAACTTGGGGGCCGGGCCCCCGTCCTTCCGCCGATAAACGGCCAGGCCCGCGGCCACCGCCGCGCCTCCCGCACCCGCCGCGCCCGCCGCCGACCCCGGCCCGCTGCCGCCCGCTGCCGCGGCCATAGTCGCCGACAGCCGACCCCACCGCCTGGCCTACCCCGGCCCTCGCGGCGTTCCCCGTTCGCACCCGCGCGCGCGCGCGCAGCCGCCACCACCACCTCTCGGCCCCGCCCAGCCAACCCCCTTCCGGCGCGGCTGCCCGGCCCCGCCCCTTCTCGGACGAGCGCCCTAACCGACGAAGGCACGCGCACACGCATGCGCAGCCCTAGCGCCGGATTGGGACGCGAGGTGGGTTTTTTGACCAGTAGCTTCAAGTATCGTCTGCTACCTCGCTTCGGCCTCTGCGCGACTGCCTCTTTCTGGGTACCTGTGTGAGATCGTTATGCGGCCAACAACTGCATGGAGGTTTTCTGTCGCCGCTGGCCACCGCCGTAGAGAAAAGAGCTGGAGTGAGAAGTTCGAAGGGGACAGCCCGTTTAGGGTGTCGAGTGCTGACCGAGGAATCCACTCGCAGGGTGGGAGCTTGCGCCCGCCTCGCTTGCCCTCCTACCTTCTATTCCAAGTGGCCGCATCGGCCTTTGGACCCAGCCACCTGTGACAACGACCCGGGACTTCGTCTACACACCTTCCTCCCCTTCGTGGCTCTAGCCACACCATCTTATTCCTCGGAGCCCTTTCTCCAGCTGTTACCGAGACCTGCAGCTCTTTCCCTCAGATTGTCACTTAGGCGCTTTCAAATTCATAGCTTAAGGGTACTTCAGAAAAGCCTTCCCTGACGGAACAATCTTGAACTGATCGTACTCGACATTGTGGAGCATTCAATCGCCACGATCTGGTATTTTTCTTATTTTTTTACTTATCGTCCATATAAATTACATGAGAACCTAGTCTTGCCCTGTTCACAGGCCTACCCTCAGGTGCTGGGAACAGGGTCTGTTATCTAAGTGTCGTTCAATAAATACTTGATGAATAAATGAATGCCCCAGAGAGAAGGAGAAAGATGTTAAAGCATGAAGGGCTATGAGGGAGTTATGAACATAACGCTGTATGAACCCAGAACAGCAGGTGACTAATTGTGAGAAACTCTGGTGAGTTTCTGAGACCAACTTTTAAGACTAAATAGAGGGCGGTAGAGGCGGTGCTGGCCCCGGGAGCAGAGACACCCGAGGCTGAGCCGCTCCTGACCTTTGTGGCTTCTGCCTCCCAGGCTGACCAAACTCTCACTGTGATTGCACACCAGGATTCCCGAGGCCTGTTCCCTGGTGGCCATCAAATCTCAAGGACTTCGAGATTTCCTTAAGTGAAGACAAGGACCCTAAAGGGCAATAAGGCTGCCAATGTAATAAACACTACGTTTTCCTCTAAAAAAATTTTTAAAAACTTAAAAAAGAGTGACTAGAATGTAATGAGAAGGAAGGACGTTGCTGACAACACAGAAACAACTAGAACAAAGGCGTTCAAGTGTGAAAGCATGCTTGGTGAAATTCATGTAGTGGAAGCAGAGATGTTACTTGGCTGTGGCAGTGAATTTTGACTTTATCCTGTAAACATCAGGAAACTAGCTTGAATGGAGAGAATGGCATGCTCAGACTTATAGATTATGAGTGATTTTCATCCGGTGTGCCACAAGAATTTTTAAAACCTGTTTTCCCTTAGATTGTCAGAAAATGACAACAGCCAACAGAACAATAGCCACCCGGTGTAAATGAATGAAAATTATACCTATTTTTTTTTGTCAGATGGGCAAAAAAATATTTTGGTGTCCCAGACTTTTATTAATTAGTTTATGTGTGACATGAGATGAAAAATGTTGAAAATAGCTGGAACAATTTACACAGTATGAATGATGGATCAGAGGAAGACTGGAGAAAAGATGACCTGATAAACAGTCTAGGAGAGAAACAATAATAAAATATGAGTAAGACACGGATCGTGCCTTCTAAGAGCCCAGACTTTAGAAATAATGATAATAGCTGTGTTTATGGAGCACTTATGCTGTAACTTTTGGCGCCTTGTGCTAAGTACACCTACATTCCTGCAGATAAGGATATTGAGGCAGAGAGAGGTTAACGGGCTAGCTAGTATGAGTCAGGTTTTTCAACCCAGGAATTGGACCCTGGAGCACTAGTACTCCCTCTTCCCAAGTACAATGAGTTTTCTAGTAACAACATGTGAGAAGAGCAGAGAAAACGCATGGAGAAGTTCAGAAAGTTATTTCATTTGCCCAAAGCCATAGAGAGGGCAGTAATATTCCAACTTGTTTGCTCAAATAACATCTAAAATACTTTTAAAAACCATACACCTATTTTATTTTTAGAAAAACATATTTTCATGCCCAAAGTAAATACTGGTTTATAAGAACCAGTGTATTTCCCTGCAAAGTCCTCCATGTCATCGGACTAAAAATAGTACTTTAAACCCCCCCCCCAAAATTGAATAATTGCAAAGAGCACGTTACAACAATGGACACTTTAAATATAATGGTTGCATCATTTTTTAAAAGTTTTTATTTTGAAATAATGTCAAACTTACAAAAAGTTCCAAGTATAGTACAAAGAACTTTTTTTAATTAAAAATGTACAGACTTTTAGATAAACATTTTTTTTTTGTTCCATGTATGCATTCATTGGTTTGATTCTTGCATATGTACAACATTGGCATATTGGGGTGATGCTCTAACCAACTGAGCTACCTGGCCAGGGTGAATTTTTTCTTTCTGGAATCGTATGACGACAGTATGTTGCTGACATCATGCCCATCACTCAAAAATCTTTGTGCATTTCCTACAGATTATATTCTCTTACCTGTTATTCACAGTAACATTAAAACTATCCTCAGATCCCATTCAAGTTTTTTCTGTTACCCCTCTAAGTTCCCTTATACCAAAGTTTCCAGATCAGAATCACGCATTGCATTAAGTCAAGTTTCAACTCCTTTTCAGTCTGGAATAGCTCCTGTCTTTAGCTTTCACAACACTGATGACATTGAAGATTACAAGCTAGTTATTTTACAGAATGTCCCTCAATTTCAGTTTGGCTGATGTTCTTCATGCTGTGTTTTTTTTTCATTTCATACAATCAAGAGGTTCATGGTTTCACTTTCATTACTCTGATGACTTGATTAAGAGAGTATCTCCCAGGCGTCACCACTGTGAAGCTATCCTTATGCCCCTGTAATCAACTGGTATTTTCTAGGAGGTATTTTAAAAGTATGTAAATATCCCATTCCTCATCAAAATTTCCATTAATTTTTATCAAAGCAAGGGTAATCAAGACAGTGGTGGTACTGACACAAGGAATAAAATTGAGTTCAGAAATAAACCCATATATCTATGGTCAACTAATTTGTAACAAGGCTGCCAAAATCATTCAATAAGGAAAGAACAGCTTTTTCAACAACTAGTGCTGAGAAAACTGGATAGCTACATGCAGAACAATGAAGTTAGACCCTCACCTCACACTATATATAAAAGTTAACTTGCAGTGCATTAAAGGCCTAAATGTAAGAGTTTTGTAAAACTACAAAATTCAGAAGAAAACATGAGGGCAAACCTTCATAGTTTGGATAAGCAAAATGTGACATATAGGATCAAATACAAGGTCTGTCCAGAAGGTATCCAGCCATGTACTATGAAAAATAGAGACATTTACTGAAGATACAAGAAATATTGTACATAGGACAATGCTGCCTCAGTCCCCTTCCAAGTACGCACTGTGGGACCTCACAGTTCTCCCAGTTGCCATCAGCTGCCCCATCGTGTTTTCCTGAATCTCATCAACAGTCTTGAAATCTCTTCCCTGTCAACAGTGATTTCAGTTCTGGGAAAAGCCAAAAGCAGGGCACCAGATCTCGGCTATAGGGGGCTGAGTCACCTGGGTGAGTTGATACTTCACCAGAAAAACTGCACGAGACATGATGCATGAGCGGGCATGTTGTCATGATGAAGCTGCCAACCACCAGTTGCCCGCAGCTGTGGCTTTCTGAATCATATGAATGGTTTCTGCAGAGGAATGTTCGGGCTTAATGCAAAATTTGATGCAGATCTATTGCTCTAATTGCTCATTTTGAATGCTTCGGCCACACAATACACATGCTCACTCAACAGCCTCTACTGCCCCCAATGACTAGTACAGTGAAGCTGTCATTGTTCATGAATGTGTATTCCAGTCCGCTCTTTGGCTGCCAGGTTACACTGATTACAAGCAAACTGTTCTCATTATGTTAACAATGGCTGGACTTTCTCCAGACAGACCTCATATTGTTCAGCTTTAAAAAGGAAGGTGATTCTGCTTGTTTGGGTTGCTCAGCTGGTTGGAGCATCATTCTGTATACCAAAAGGTTGTGGGTTCCATTCCCAGTCAGGGCGCATATCTAGGTTGCAGGTTCGATCCCTAATTGGGGCATGTATGGGAGGCAACCAATCAATGTCTTTCTCTGTCTCCACCCCCAATCAATAAACAAATCCTCAGCTGAGGATTAAAAAAAAGAAAAGAAAACCATAACTGCCATAAGCGCACAATTTATGGACCAATTTTTTGTTCCCTTGCAGCTTTTTTCCTTTATTCCATTTGGGTGTTTATATTTGTGAACTTGAACTAATTCACGCAACTTTAGGTAATCGAAGTATAATATACTACTATGTCCAAAAAATTATTTGTGCTTATGCATAATCTCTTATTCTTCATGCCGGTATCTTTCACATTTTATGTAAGAATTTTAAACTGTGTAAATAAGTACTGTATTTTTAAAATAGAAAAAAAGCTAAAAAAAGGAAGTAGAAGAAACTCCTTTTCTCAGATATAAGATTCATAAAATGGCCTAAGTCACCTCTATATTTTATTACAAACAAACACAAACACACAAAACCCACTCAGGTCTAAAGGCAAACCATCTGTTGATTAGTAGTACAAATTCTGGGAATAGATAATCAATGCAAAGGCCCCACCACTAAAAATCTCAGTGGCCTTCAGCACATTGCTTTACCCTGCTGAGTGTCTTTTTCCTCATTTGTGAAACAGAGAAACTAATAGTGGATAATTAGAATAATTGGGAAGGTAAATGACATAAATGTGCAGTACTTGGGGACATTTTTATTTACCGGGAACTTTATTTAGTTAAGAGATTATTCTTATTCATA